TCTTTTTGCTTATGTGGTGCTGAGGAATCGAACCCAGGGCCTCGAGCATGCAAGGCAAGCGCTCTACCACTGAGCCACCTTCCCAGCCCAGAAACATGTTTTTTTGAGATGGCATTTTTACTATGTTGCTTAGGTTGACCTGCAACTTTACTATGTAGCTCAGGCTGTCTTTGAACTTGATTTTCATGCCTTAGTCTCTTAAGTAGCTGGTAAAAGCACATTTTTTTCCCCCTCAGTATTAGAGTTTTAAATCAGTTCTTTGTAATTACTAGGCAGGCATTATATCACTGGAGCCACTCCTCCAGCCCTTCTTGCTCTACCTATAGATAGTCTTTTTTGCCATAATCTTCCTATTTATGCTACCTGATGTAGCTGGGATTATAAGCTTATGCTATAACATGATTTTTCTGTTGAGAAGGGGCCTCAAAACTGAGATCTCAAGTTTCTAGGTTTACTAGCATAAGCCAATGAACTTGGATGGTAGAGTGTTTTACACACACATTTCTTTTTACTTCCTCTCTCCCGCTCTTCTTTCCCTCCCATTCTCCCTTCCTCTCTTCTTCCCTCCCACTCTTCCTTCCCTCTCTTCCTTCCGTTCACAGTTCTAGAGACTGAACTTGTATTTGCTAGGCATGTGTTCTATCAATTGTTCAATGCCCACAGCTGCCCCATTTATGCATATGTTTTATTTATGAGCCTATTTTGAATTCTTTGTGTTTCAAGATCTTTACAATCCCTAGCTAGTCATAATAGTTTTAATCTTCAGAGCTGGGAAGATGGCTCAGTGGTAGAGTGCTTGCCTTGCATGCATGAGGCCCTGGGTTCGATTCCTCAGCACCACATAAGCAGAAAAAGCTGGAAATGGCACTGTGGCTCAAGTGGTAGAGTGCTAGCCTTGAGCTGAAGAGCTGAGGGTCAGTGCCTAGGCCCAGAGTTTAGGCCACACGACCAAAAACAAAAAAATAGTTTTAATCTTAAGCAGCATTAATGACGTTAAATATTACCAGTAGATGTTAGGTAAAAGGTGCATGCATGTGTTCCTAAGTAGAATTCTGGGTTATATGTGTTATATATAATATTCTAAACTTGCTGCAGTTTTACAGTGAACCTATTCATTTATGATCAAAATTAAAACATAGTTGCTATAAAAGCTCACATGGTAATTGTTTTTGTTGCTTCCACATTGAACTCATATTGCTTCCCTATAAGAAATCAATTATTAAACTCTAGTGGAAACAAAAGAAATTCTAATGGCCAGCCACCAGTGGCTCACTCCAGTAATCCTAGCTACTCAGGAGGCCGAGAGCTGGGGATCATAGGAAAAGTCTGTGAGACTCTTATTTCCAAATAAGCTCCAAAAAATGCTGGAAAGGGAGCTGAAGCTCAAGTGGTAGAGCACTACCCTTGAACAAAAAGGCTCAGGTACAGTGCCCAGGCCCTGAGCTCAAGACCAGCATATGCGTACCTTCCCCCTTTTCCCCCCTCCCCCCTTTTCTCTTCTCTCTCTCCTCTTTCTCATCCTAGTAATGGTTTCTAATTTGTTCTGTTTTCCTCTAGGAAGGTTGGGCTTTTGTTTTTTGTTTATTTTGTTGTTTTTTATTGTAACAAGTATTTGAAATCAAGGCTTGACAATAGATGGGTAGGTATTTGATTACATGAGTCATATCTCAACTTTTTGTTTCTATTACTTTTCAAATAAAGTTTTCAATTCCCAAGACAGCTTGGACCACAGTCCTATTTATATTTTGCACATAGCTGGGATGACAAACACACAACATTGTATCCAGTTGTGAGATGGAATGTCACAAACTTTTTTCCTGGGCTAGCCTCAAACCATCTTCTCCATCTCTCCCTCCTAAGAAGCTAGGATTACAAGCATGCACCATTTTTGCCTGGCTCTTTCAGATTTCTCAATTGGGAATTGTGTTCTAGGCAGTCCATTGAGGGAAATTTTGGTTGTCATCAATGATTGGAGGTGTGTTATAAGTCATGTGGGGCCAGTTATCACATTCCAATGGGCCCCGGGCCAAGGTTGTTAAACTTACTGTAGAAACACATGCAGCCCCATGCAAGAAATACCTTTTTCACTCAAAACAGTACCACTACCACCACCACCACCTTTGAAAAGAGGTATGGGATTTTCTGAATTAATTTGAGGAAGTATACAGTGTCTATTCACATTATTTTGTATTTACATGTTCATGAAATTAAAATTAACCATTATATCCCTTGTGATTTGGCAAGACATTTACATTAGATCTTATTACTTTTTAGGACATGTTCCAGGGATCCAACCCAGGCTATTGCTAACAGATTGAAAGAAATGTATGAAATATATTCTCAGCATTACAAGCTAGATGAGGATTTTAGTAACTGTGCTAAAGGTAAGGTTTAATATTGTGTATGTGACTCTTCATGTTAACATTTAACTACATGGATTCCTTTTTCAGCAACTTGAGTCAGAAACATAAGGAAGACTCAGGATTTTAGGTTGAAGGCTAGAATGTGACTCTCTGTACTTTCTGTCATGCCAGTGATTTCTGATTTCACAGAGGAATTTTAAGTTATTACTTTCATTATATTGGTCTTTTGGTACTTTCTTAATTTATAAATTCTTTTTTCTTTTTTTTTGGGGGGGGTCTGGTCATGGGGCCTGAACTCTGGGCCTGGGCACTGTCCCTCAGCTCTTCAGCTCAAGGCTAGCACTCTACCACTTGAGCCACAGCGCCACTTCCGGTTTTTTCCCTTTTGCTTATGTGGTGCTGAGGAATCGAACCCAGGGCCTCATGCATGCAAGGCAAGCGCTCTACCACTGAGCCACCTTCCCAGCCCAATATATAAATTCTTTAGTTATCATTTGTCAAGTGGAAGCTAATGTAAGAATTTCGATTCTACAGTAAAGAAAGAATAGTACAGAAGACTTACAGATTGCTGGGGAGGTTGTAATACTGAATATGTAAAAAGAAACATCTTGGCAATAGAATCCAGTTTTAAATACAGAATTCCTTTGTGTTTCATATATACCTTATACACATAGACTAACAGGTTTTTTAGTCTATCACATGAGCTCAGGTGTAGAATATTCAACTTGCAGCGTTACACTGGTATTCAAAGTTTCAAGAAGTCTGGAATATTTTGGATGTTGATTCTCCACTTCACAGATGCTGGCCTGGGAATTGTTTGACCCAAGTATATGTAGAATAGTAAACTAATTACAAACCTCTTACCATATATATAATTATTCCACTTCCTGTTCCTATAACAAAAGGCCTGGGATAATACCTGAAAATAGGTGATCAAGTAGCTTTGTTTCTTTGGGCCTGTGGTGATGGCAGTGGGAGGGAGACAGCAGTCTCCCAGCAGGCTCCCTCCAAAGGCTTAAGCATCTCCCACCTCCCATTTGTGCCAACATGGAACCAATACTTTAACAAATTGGCCTTTGTAGGTAGTCATCACCAAAACTACAACAGCTTTATTTTACTCATAAATACAGAAAATAAAAGGAATGAATTGGTTCTGGGCTTAAACTCAGAGCCCGAGTGCTGACTCTGAATTTCTTTTGCTCAAGGTTAGAGCACTACCACTGGAGCCACAGCTTTCTTCTAGCATTTATGGTCATGTTTTGGAGTTAAGATTGCCACAGAATTTTCTGTCTGGAGTTCTCAGTCTCCTGAATAGCTAGGATTACAGGCATGAGCCACCAGCACCTGTTAAAAGGAATGAATCTTAATGGAATGATAAGTTCTTTGCATGCAACTTTTATCTCAGATTTAGAAAAATGTGAATATTACCATGAAGAACATTAAGGAATCTTAAGGATAATTGAATCAACAATTGTAGAAATTTTATTTTATAGATAGGAAGGGATGGATCTCCATTTTCTGCAATACTTATTTTCCTTGTATTTGACTTTTGTGTTTTTATGTATTTGTACAGAAATTGCCAGCAAACATTTTCGTTTCGCAGAAATGCTTTACTATAAAGTATTGGAATCTGTTATTGAGCAGGAACAGAAAAGATTGGGAGACATGGATTTATCTGTGAGTATAAATCATCAGAGTGAAACATTTTCAGTCTTCCCTGAAACCCCCAAAATAAGCTATTACTAGATGTGATGTATGGCTTTAGGGAGTAAGATTAGCACCTAAGGAAACTTGTGCACCAAGCCCTCTCATCTTCATCTTCATCAACAGAAGAAGTTAGTCTTTATCACCGTAGCAAGTCATATGTTATAGTGAACATATTTTATGGGAGAAACCATGAGGCCCTGAATTCAAACCTAAAAATTATAAAACTATTCTAATTCCTTGTGGATATTTTCACTTCTTTTCCCGCTGTTAGTGATTGAACTCAAGGCCTCACACTTCATAGGTAAGCACTGTACAAGTAAATATGTATCTCAGCTTTTTACAAAAATTGGGACAAAGTCTTGCTGTAATAGCTCAGGCTAGTTCTGAACTTGCGATCCTCCAGCCTCTGCCTCTTGACTGTACCATTACACCTGCTTACATTGCTTGTATATATGTAGTATGTATACACATATATATCTGGTTGTACAAAGGACTGTTGTATGACTTAATTTTTTTTTTTGCCAGTCCTGGAGCTTGAACTCAGGGCCTGGGCACTGTCCTTGAGCCTCCATGTGCTCAAGGCTAGTGCTCTACCACTTGAGCCACAGTACTACTTCTGGCTTTTTCTGTTTGTGTGGTACTGAGGAATCAAACCCAGAGCTTCATACATGCTAGGCAAGCACTCTACCACTAAGCCACATTCCCAGCCCTGACTTAATTTTTTGTGTATGAAACACATACTGATAGTATATAAACTGTTAGTATGATTTAGGCTGGAGTATTGTGAATACTCATAAATACATATCTAAAAATCTTTTTTTACCGTGCTAAAATATACTTAATAAGTAGTATTTTAATCTTTTAAAGTTTTTTGCTTTTTTATTTATGTGCTGGATCTGGGACTTGACTTCAGGGCTTGGGTACTATACCTGAGCATTTTTTCTCAAGGCTAGCACTTTGCCATTTGAGTCACAGCTCCACTTCTGACTTTTTTTGATGGTTAACTGGAGATAAGAACTCATAGGGGCTGGGAAGGTGGCTCAATGGTAGAGTGCTTGCCTTGCATGCATGAGGCCTTGGGTTTGATTCCTCAGCACCACATAAGCAGAAAAAAAAAGCCGGAAGTGGCGCTGTGGCTCAAGTGGTAGAGTGCTAGCCTTGAGCTGAAGAGCTGAGGGACAGCGCCCAGGCCCAGAGTTCAGACCCCACGACCAGATCCCCCCAAAAAAGCTCATAGACTTTTCTGTTTAGGATGGCTTCAGATCGAGATCCTTAGATCTCAGCTTCCTGAGTAGCTAGGATTATAGGCAAAAGCAACCAGTGCCTGGCAGTCATCTTTAAGTTTATAACTCAGTGGCATTAAGCTTACTAACAGTGTTAAGTATATACTACCACTATCCATCTATAGAAATTTTCAACTTTACGAACAGTGTAGACCCACTTAACACAAATCCCTTTTTTTTTTTTTTTTTGTTGGTTGTGGGACTTGAACTCTGGGCCTGGGCGCTGTCCCTCAGCTCTTCAGCTCAAGGAGAGCGCTCTACCACTTGAGCTACAGCACCACTTCCGGTTTTCTAGTGGTTTATTAGAGATAGGAGTCTCACGGTCTTTCCTGCCCGGGCTGGCTTTGAACCATGATCCTCAGATCTCAGCCTCCTGAGTAGCTAGGATTACAGGTGTGAGCCACCAGCGCCCGACTCACAAGTCCCTTTTCACTCCTGACAGCCCCTGCTAGTGTTTCTTTCTCCTTTGTCTTCTACATTAAATCTGTTAACTTTTTTTGGGGGGGGGATTAGTCATAGGGCTTCAACCCAGGGCCTAGGGTTCTGTCCCTTAGCTCTTTTACTCTGCCACTGAGCCACAGCTCCATTTCAGGTTTTCTGGTGGTTAATTTGAGGTAAGAACCTCAAGGGCTTTCTTACCTGAGTTGGCTGTGAATCTAGATCCTCAGATCTCAGCCTCCTGAGTAGCTATCATTACAGGTATGAGCCAACAGCATTTGGCTACCTGTTGACTTTTTTTTATTTTTTGGGGGGGGGTCCAGTGATGGGGCCTGAACTCTGGGCCTGGGCGCTGTTCCTCAACTCTTCAGCTCAAGGCTAGCACTCTACCACTTGAGCCACAACACCACTTCTGGCGCCCAGGCCAACTCAGGTAAGAAAGCCACTATCATAGAAGAGAGCTGTAATGCAAGACAGCGGTAACTGGTAGATAATCACCTATCAAAAGTCCACAAGTAGGGCTGGGAAGATGGCTCAGTGGTAGAGCGCTTGCCTTGCATGAGGCCCTGGGTTCGATTCCAGCTCTCTTCTATGATAGTGGCCTATTATTATATAATGTTACTATGTTGTGACATCTTGCTATGTCATTATTCTAAGTGTGTGTGTGTGTGTGTGTGTGTGTGTGTGTTTTGGTTAGGGATGTAATTATGTTTATTCTGTTTATTTTGGAACATACAAGATTTTTTTTTGAAAATGCTTATATATTCCTTTATTTTTTTTTAATGAAAAGATCAATTTATTTGTGAAAGTTAAGGGTTTTGTAGCAAAGTAAACACATCCTCTCAGAAAATAAAACGTCTTTTGGTGTTTGATTAAAGGGACCTTTTTAGAGTAGACTAATGTTTGTAAATGCTGTTACCTTTGTTTTATAGGGTATTCTGGAACAGGATGCATTCCATAGATCACTCTTGGCCTGCTGCCTTGAAGTCATCACTTTTTCTTACAAGCCTCCTGGGAATTTTCCACTCATTGCTGAAATATTTGATGTTCCGCTTTATCATTTTTATAAGGTATTTTTCCAAAATATACTGCATGTTGATGAGACCACCTTCTTGTTGTCATGTAATTTTTATTAGCATGTAAGTATTTTAAACTATTTTAAATTACATATTCAATAATCCAGCAGAAAAGAAACAGGACATTCTTTTTTTTTTTTTTTTCATTTTTGCTTATGTGGTGCTGAGGAATCGAACCCAGGGCCTCATGCATGCAAGGCAAGCACTCTACCACTGAGCCACCTTCCCAGCCCCAAAACAAGACATTCTTAAGAGCTATATAAATTTGTGTAACACACAGTAGTTTGAAAGATCTCTCTTGGATAAAACCTTCATTTGATTACTACCTCATGAAAGATTTTGGAATATTTTTGTCTTAGGAGCCAAGGAGGATTTAAAGAGTAGCTTGAAAGCTAGAAGCTAATCTTGTACAGCAGCTTCCTGTTGAAAGTCCTTTTTTTTTTTTTTTTTAAATGAAAGACTATTTAACTTTCAGGGAAAAACAAAACAATTCTCTATCATTCTTTAGTTTTTATGACCCAGACTAGTCTCAAACTTGTGATCCTACTGCCTCAGACTCACAGGTGCCTGTTACAGAAAGTCAGTTGTGGCATGGTTTGTTTCCTTTTTTTTTTTTTGGTCAGTCTTGGGGCTTGAACTCTGGGCCTGGGTGCTATCCCTCAGCTCTTCAGTTCAAGGCGAGTATGCTGCTGCCTGAGCCATGGCACCACTTCCAGTTTTCTAGTGGTTTATTGGAGATAAAAGTCTCACAGACTTTCCTACCCGGGCTGGCTTTGAATCGTGATCCTCAGATCTCAGCCTACTGAGTAGCTAGGATTACAGGCATGAGCCACGTCACCCGGCTTGTTTCCTTTTTTGATACTAATGTAACGTGTGATCAAAATTTTATAGTGTCACTGGCTGTGTTTTTTTTGACTGTGTGTGGTGCTGAGGATGAAACCCATGTGTATGCTAGGTAAATGCTTGACCACTGAGTTATATTCTCAGTCCTCTAGAGCTTTTTAACAGAAGTTTTTTTCAGGTATTGGAGATTAATAAGCACATACTCTACCATTGACCTACATATCCAGTCTTTTAATATAAAACTTTAAGAGTAATGTTTTCATTTATTTATTTTTTTTTGGTCGGTCGTGGGGCTTGAACTCTGGGCCTGGGCGCTGTCCCTCAGCTCTTCAGCTCAAGGAGAGCGCTCTACCACTTGAGCTACAGCGCCACTTCCGGTTTTCTGGAGGTTTATTGGAGATAGGAGTCTCACGGTCTTTCCTACCCGGGCTGGCTTTGAACCACGATCCTCAGATCTCAGCCTCCTAAGTAGCTAGGATTACAGGCGTGAGCCACCAGCGCCCGGCTAAGAGTAATGTTTTCAAAATCAATGAACAAGGCATATTTTATTTATTTTTTTTTATTGTAAAGATACTATATAGAAGGTTACAGTTACATGAGTAAGGTAATGAGTACACTTCCTATTGAGCATTGTTACCCCCTCCATTGTTTTCCCCCTACTATCCCTTCCATATTTTAAAATAAATTTTGAAATGCATCACATTAAAAATATTTTATATATGTAAGTTTTCACAAATACGGTAAAAAGGGCAGCTGTATCAAAGTAAACTTTCAAAACAAACTTGTAATTTTGATAAATTATTTGTCTAATTTAAAGAGATTTTTATTTATTTTTTTTGGTTAGTCATGGGGCTCGAACTCTGGGCCTGGGTGCTGTCCCTGAGCTCTTCAACTCATGGAGAGTGCTCTACCACTTGAACCATAGCACCACTTCTGTTTATTTGGTGGTTAATTGGCCTCTCAGGGACTTTCTTGCCAGGGCTGGCTTTTAACCGCCATCCTCAGATCTCAGCCTCCTGAGTAGCTAGGATTACAGGTGTGAGCTACCTGCACCTGGCTTTTAAAGAGATATTTAAGTACTGTGCCTATTTTGCTTTTTTAATACTAAAATTATTTTATATTAAATTTTTTGTGTGAAAAATCATAATTATTATGATTATTAAGTGAACCAAGGCATTTTCTTTATTTCAGGTAATAGAAGTATTCATTAGGGCAGAAGATGGCCTTTGTAGAGAAGTGGTAAAACACCTGAATCAGATTGAAGAACAGATATTAGATCATTTAGCATGGAAACCAGAGTCTCCACTCTGGCAAAGAATTAAAGACAATGAAAACAGAGTTCCTACATGTGAAGAGGTTTGTGTAAATACTATAATATCTTTCTATAAGATAAGTAAATCAGTATCTTCTGTTCATAGTCTCCTTCTACCAGACAACAATTAAACTTTGTATCTCCTCTCTAGGGGTGGAAATTCAGTGTTCCTTTAAAATTGATCAAGTCTTCTGTTCCCTACAATGGTGCTATTTTCACTCTAGAAATAGGTAATGAAGGTTTCATCACCAGTGTCCTATTACAAAGTTGGGATTTTTTTTTTTTTTGGTTACTTGTGGGACCTGAACTCTGGATCTAGCCACTGTCCTTCAGCTCTTCAGCTCAAGGCTAACTCTCTACCACTGAGCCATAGCACCACTTCTGGCTTTTTCTGCTTACATGGTGCTGAGGAATTGAAACCAGGGCCTGCACTCTACAACTGAACCACCTTCCTAGGCCCAAAGTTTGGAATTTTTAGACTTGCAGAATGTTCTTAGCTTTAATGTGAACACAGAGAAGATAGTTTAATTATGGTGGAATAACTGAAATACCAAGATAGTTTTCTTTAATTTTAGAGTACTGCTAATTATAGTGAACATTGCTGGTTTTGACCATTGCCATTTTGTGCAAATAATCCTTTTTTAGGTCATGCCACCTCAGAACCTGGAAAGAACAGATGAAATTTGTACTGTTGCTTCCCCTTTAACTCCCAGAAGGGTGAGTGAAATTCGTGCTGATACTGGAGGACTTGGAAGAAGTAAGTTTAAAATACTAAGAGGAATATTTTGGAGCCTTATATCTAGAAATTTAAATTTCATCTAAATCTATAAGTAAAATACCCTATGAGTCACTTAAAATATTCATGGACCACCAAAAGTAATACTTTAAAAGAATATTTTAAGTCTGTTTCAAAAGACTTTTAAGCAAATATGTGTATACATACATATATATATATACATATATAAATGCATATATATGTATATATACATACACTTTTTTTTTTCTGATCCTGAGCCTTGAACTAAGGGCCTAGGCATTATACCTGAGCCTGTTTGTGCTCAAGGCTAGTGGTCTACCACTGGAGCTCCAATACTACTACCAGCTTTTTTTGAGTACTTTACTAGAGGACTTTCCTGCGTAGGCTGGCTTCGAACCGTGATCCTCACATCTCAGCCTCCTGAGTGGCTAGGATGACAGGTGTGAGCCACCAGCATCCAGCTTTAAGCATATTTTAAAAAGGATAGAATACTATATATTTAATATAGTTCTTATCCAGCTGTGTATTCCTTTCCTAAAATCTGAAGAAACAGATACCATCTTGAGGACTGAGCTGCATGATCTAGTCAGGTACAGATAAGCCTGTTAGATAAGAGGACTCCTAGGCCTTAAAGGTTTTCACCTTTGTCTCTTGAGCTATGCTACCATGTGGTGAGGGCTAGCCCAATCATTACAGAAAAGATCAGGCGTGCCATACATCTGGTTTATTTCTTTTTTTTTTTTTTGTCGGTCGTGGGGCTTGAACTCTGGGCCTGGGCACTGTCCCTCAGCTCTTCAGCTCAAGGCGAGCGCTCTATCACTTGAGCTACAGCGCCACTTCCGGTTTTCTGGTGGTTTATTGGAGATAAGAGTCTCACGGTCTCTCCTGCCCAGGCTGGCTTTGAACCGCGATCCTCAGATCTCAGCCTCCTGAGTGGCTAGGATTACAGGTGTGAGCCACCAGCGCCCGGCACATCTGGTTTATTTCTTAGGCAGTTCTTTATATCATGTGTTCGGTAAAAGGTTTAACTTGCAGAGAGGAAGGGGTGAGGTGAATGCAGTCTTTATATTCAAAACATATCCTAAGAAACTAAGAAAATTGAGAGGAGAAATGTTGAAACAGGTGATAGTGATCATGCAGATCAACATGTATTGTACTTGTAGACTCATTTGTTGACGTGTAACTCCTTTTTGTACAACTAAGAGATAATAAAAATATAATTTAAAAATTTAGATATAGGAAATAGCTACTGTTTTGTGATGCTCAGAATTAGCCCCAAGGCCTCTCACATGCCGCACACAAGTCTTTTTGCCACTGAACTACACTTGTAGTCTCACTTTTCTTTTTTTTTTCCTTTTTGCAAATTCTTTATTTCACAAATTTTACAGTATTGTGGGGTAGTGATGCTTAATTAAAATCATAAACACATTCTAACTTTCATGGCACAAATTGTCTCTCACGATCTATAAAGTTTATGAGTGCTATGAGCTTTGATAGTACAGTTATTTCTTCCACATTGGGTGATTTGTACATTCCTTTCCTTTTGCATAGTGTCAGCTGTTCCCTCTTTCCCACTCATTCCTTCCCTTCCTCCCATCGCTGCCATTGAGTTGCTTGGTTTGTTTTGATCAATGTCCAGTGCAGCTGATGGGTCCCACTGTTGTATGTTTTCCCCTGATTCCCTCTAGTTCTGTGTCCTCCTCCTAATTTTCCTTCGGTGTGCACATATATACTATATGTGTGATCAGATGAATAGAGGTCCTTTGTTTCTCAAGTCTTGTCAACTCTGTCATATCACCTTAATTTTTGGATTTAACATCCACTTATCAGGGAGACTATGTACTGTTTGTCTCTTTGCTCTTGGCTTACCTCACTCAACATGATTTCTTCTAGTTCCATCCATTTTCCTGCAATGCCATGATTTTGTCCTTTCTAATGGCTGCATAATACTCCATTGCGTATAGATACCACAATTTTTGGATCCATTCATCTGTGGTGGGGCATCTGGGTTGTTTCCACATCTTGGCTATTGTGAACAGTGCTGCAATAAACATGGAGGTGCATGTGTCCTTGTATCCTGGTTCCTGTTGTTCGGGATAGATGCCTAGGAGTGGTATGGCTGGGTCATAGGGGAGGTCTATATTTAGCTTTCTGAGGACCCTCCAGACTGCTTTCCAAAGTGGTTGTATAAGTGTACATTCTTCCCACCAGCAGTGTAATAGGGTTCCTCTTTCTCTACATCCCCTCCAGCAATTGTCGTTGGCTGACTATAGGATGTGGACCATTCTGACTGGGGTAAGGTGGTATTTCAGGGTTGTCTTTATTTGCATTTCCTTCACAACCAGGGATGGTAAACATTTCCTCATGTGTTTCTTTGCCATTTTTATCCCTTCTTCTGAGAAGTCTCTATTTAGTTCCCTTGTCCATTTAATAATTGGTTTGTTGGATTTGGGAGGGATTCATTTCTTGAGTTCCCTGTATATACTGGATATTAACCCCTTGTCTGATATATTGCTGGTAAATACTTTTTCCCAGTTAGTTGGTTGTCTTTCTAGCTTGGTTGCTATATCTTTAGCTGTGCAGAAGCTTTTTATTTTAAGGTAGTCCCGTTTGTCAAGTTTCTCTCCAATTCTCCAATTTGTTGTGACCCCGGGACTCTGTTCAGGAAGTTCCTGCCTGTGCCTATAAGTCAAAGTATCTTTCCTACTCTATCTTGCAGTAGTTTCAGAGATTCAGGTTTGATGTTAAGGTCTTCAATCCATCTTGAGTTGATGTTAGCGCATGGTGACAGGCTGGGATCCACTTTTAGTTTTCTGTATGTGACCGCCCAGTTTTCCCAGGCCCAGTAGTTGAACAGGCTGTGCTTCTTCCACTGTATGTCTTTGGTTCCTTTGTCAAATATCAGCTGACTGTAAGTGTTTGATTTCTGGATCTTCTATTCCATTGGTCTTGGAGTCTGTTTTTGTGCCAGTACCATGCTGTCTTTGTTATTATGGCTCTATAGTAGAGTTTGAAGTCTGGCATCGAGGTCTTTCCCATGTTGTCTTTTTTGCCTAGAATTGTTTTGCCTATTCTAGGTTTTTTGTTGTTCCATATGTATTTTTGGTCTGTTTTCTGTATTTCAGTAATGTATGTCATTGGGATTTTAATAGGAATTGCATTGAATTTGTATATTAATTTTGGCAGTATGGCTATTTTCACTATATTAAGTCTGCCTATCCAAGAGCATGGAAGGTCTTTCCATTTCCTGGTGTCTTCTGTAATTTAAGTTTTTATAGTTTTCATTAAATAGTTCTTTTATATCTTTGGTTAGGTTAATTCCTAAATATATTTGGAGGGGTTATTGTGAATGGGGTTGTTTCCTTTATTTCTCTTTCTGCTTGTACATTGTTGGTGTACAGGAAGGTGACTGATTTTTGTGGGTTGATTTTGTATCCCGCTACTTTGCCAAAGTCTCATTTTTCTTTTAAAGAATAATTGTGCAGCCGGGCGCCGGTGGCTCACGCCTGTAATCCTAGCTACTCAGGAGGCTGAGATCTGAGGATCGTGGTTCAAAGCCAGCCCGGGCAGGAAAGACTGTGAGACTCCTATCTCCAATTAACCACCAGAAAAACGGAAGTGGCGCTGTAGCTCAAGTGGTAGAGCGCTCTCCTTGAGCTGAAGAGCTGAGGGACAGCGCCCAGGCCCAGAGTTCAAGCCCCACGACCGACAAAAAAAAAAAAAAAAAAGAATAATTGTGCAGACCCAAACATTCTGAATTATTGAATTATATTAGACTACTCTTATATTTAATGGTAGGGGGGCTGGGAATGTGGCATAGTGGTAGAGTGCTTTCCTAGCATGCATGAAGCCCTGGGTTTGATTCTCAGTACCACATAAACAGACAAGGCTGGGCATGGCACTATGGCTCAAGTGATAGAGTGCTAGTCTTGAACAAAAGAAGCTTAGGGGGGCTGGGAAGGTGGCTCAGTGGTAGAGTGCTTGCTTTGCATGCATGAGGCCGTGGGTTGGATTCCTCAGCGCCACATAAGCAAAAAGAAAAAAAAGCCAGAAGTGGCGCTGTGGCTCAAGTGGTAGAGCGCTACACTAGCCTTGAGCTGAAGAGCTGAGGGACAGCACCAGGCTCAGTGTTCAGGCCCCACGACCGGACCCCCCCAAAAAAAAAGAAGCTAAGGAACAGTGCCCAGGCCCTGAGTTCAAGCCCCATAACTAGGGGGGAAGAAAGAAATTACCTGGAAATCCTAGCACTTAGGCTATGGGAGGAGAATTACGCATTCAAGGTAAGCCTGGACTACACCAGCCTGTACTACCCCCATCTCAAAAACCAAAATAAATAAAAATGATCTCTGAAAATTTCCTTATTTCTAAAGAGATATGTAGCTTAACTTTTTCTGTTTATTATTTGGCTGGTCTTTTTTGGTCCTGTAGAATTTTCCCTTTCCTTTTTCTTTTTTTTAAATTTAAATTTTATTGTAAAGGTGTTGTATGGAGGGCCGAGGGGGTTACAGTTACATAAGTAAGACAATGAGAGTACATTTCATGTCCAACATTGTTACCCTCCTCTCATTTTTCTTCCACTTACTCCTCCCATGTTTTTCCTTTTCTAATGTATAGATTAAGATTTGACGCTAAAATTCACCTTAATTTTCCTTGTACCTGTTATTTCTCCATTTTCCTGAATGCTTTACATGATAGTGATCCCAGTGTAATTTCAGCAGGTTTGTAATAGAAGTCTATAAGCTTTTGGTTTTTGTTTTTGTGTGTGTGTGTGTGTAATGGTCGTAGGGCTTAAATAATTTAGAATCTGGTCTCTGTCTCAGCTTTTTTGTGCAATGTTAGCACTCTGCCCCTTGAGCCAGAGCTCCACTGACAGCTTGGTGGCTAATTGGAGATGCGATTCTCACAGACTTTTCTGCCTAAGTAGGTAGGATCACAGGCCTGAGATGCTGGCCCCTGGCACTTATGGTCATTCAGGGTTTACTTGTCAATGGCTTTTATGATTCCTACTTCAAGTCTTAGGTTTCAAAAACTACTAACTTGCAGGGAAAATGAAAAAGGAAGAGAAATGTTTGTGTCTTGAAAGTTCATATACTAGTGTGGGTACTAAAAATTAAGCTTTTTATTTGGAATAATGAGATAGTTTAATAAGTGTTAATGGCAGGGGCTGGGAAGGTGGCTCAGTGGTAGAGTGCTTGCCTTGCATGCATGAGGCCCTGGGTTTGATTCCTCAGCACCACATAGCAGAAAAAACTGGAAACGGTGCTGTGGCTCAAGTGGTAGAATGCTAGCCTTGAGCTGAAGAGCTGAGGGATAGCGCCCGGGCCCAGAGTTCAGGCCCCACGACCAACCAAAAAAAATAAAAATTGTGAGGTATGCCAGGTGCTGGTGGCTCATGCCTATAATCCTAGCTATTCAGGAGGCTGAGATCTGAGGATCATGGTTCAAAGCTAGCCCGGGCAGGAAAGTCCCTGACACTCTTACCTCCAATTAAACACCAGAAAACTGGACGTGGTGCTGTAGCTTAAGTGATAGAGCTCTATGCTTGAGCTCTTCAGCTCTTCAGACCCAGAGTTCAAGCCCCATGACCAACCAAAAATACAAAACTAGTATAATAAAAGCCATTGAACTACATAAATGGATGAAATGTATGGTATGTGAGCCATATCTCAATCTGAAAAAACAAAAACAGACTAGCTGGGCACTTGTGGCTCACACCTGTAATCCTAGCCATTCAGGAGACTGAGATTTGAGGATTGCAATTTAAAGCCAGCCCAGGCAAGAAGGTCCATGAGACTCTTATCTCCTATTAGCTACCAAAAAATAAAAATAAAAAAGGAGGGACAAAGGGTGAATTAATGTGCAGCAATGATACTTACTGAACACTATTTTGAAAATTATAGAAGTTGTGGGTGGGGATAAGAGGGAAAAACTTGGAGAACATGAGGGAAGGGGTGACGTTTTCCTAAAGAAATGTATTCTTCCTGACTTACACAACTGTAACCCCTTTGTACATAACCTTTATAATAATTTTTTTTTTTTTTTTGTCGGTCGTGGGGCTTGAACTCTGGGCCTGGGTGCTGTCCCTCAGCTCTTCAGCTCAAGGCGAGCGCTCTACCACTTGAGCTATAGCGCCACTTCCGGTTTTCTGGTGGTTTATTGGAGATAGGAGTTCTCACGGTCTCTCCTGCCCGGGCTGGCTTTGAACCTCAATCCTCAGATCTCAGCCTCCTGAGTAGCTAGGATTACAGGTGTGAGCCACCAGCGCCCGGCTTAATAAATTTTTTTAAAAGCCAGAAGTGGAGCTGTGGCTCAAGTGATAGAGCACTAGTCTTAAGTAAAAAAGCTCAGAGACATTGCCCAGACCCTGAGTGCAAGCCCCAAGAACCACAAAGAAACAAACAACCTTAACTGAATCTAACCCATGTATGTCTACCTTGATGAAGAACATTATTATTATTGATTTTGTATATGAAGAAAAAGAAAATGCACTAAAAGGTGGGGGGCACTGGGCGCAGTACTTAGGCGATAGAGATAACTGGGCAAAAGGTAGACTTCATCTCATCAATATACGTGCCTGTGGTCTCAACTACACAAGAAATGGTTAGGAGAATCTCCGTATGAGGCCAGTCTTGGACAAAAACAATGAAAGCTGAGACATGGTTCATGATAAAGCAGATGACATTGAATTCAAACTCATGTACTGCAAAAAAATAAAGAACCCCAGACAACAGTGTGGCTAAGTATGCTGTTCATGTTTATAGTTCCATCTATTTAGAAAGTAAAGATCAGGAAGATCGTGGTTCAAGGACAGCTTGGCCAAAAAGTAAGGCCACATTTCAACCAACAAAGCTAGGCATGGTACTTCATGCTTGTCATCCAGCTATGTAGGTGGTATAAGTAGAAGGATCTTAGTCTGAGGCCTGACCTGGACTAAAATAGAACTCTATGGGCGAACTTACCAAAAAAAGGGCTTGGTTGTGGTTCAAGTAGTGGTTCAAGTTTGAACATGCACATGTTCAAACTCCAGTACTGTTCAAACCGAACAGCTATGAGATGGGTTACCAACAAATCCTCTTACCAACTGCCGTCTTTATAGTGAAATTACATTGCACATGTGCTTGAATTTGAACATGATAATTCCTTAAATTAACTCATATATATTTGTAGTAGTTAGAAGACAAAACCTAAATTGATTTAGAAGGTAGACCAAGAAGCGAGTATGTGAGACAAAATGTTCTTTATAATTCATTAATTGTACATGTACTATGAGTTAGGTAATTTTTGTTTGCTTTTAAAATTATGAAGTATTTCTAACAATGTATTGCAGTTCTGTTTGGAAGTCAGATTTGTTCTCTTAGTGTTAAATGAGTTGATTTCTTTTGCTCCCAGGCATGACATCTCCAACCACATTGTATGATAGATACAGCTCACCAACAGTCAGTAGTACCAGAAGGAGGCTATTTGAGAGTGATAGCCCTTCTGATGGAGGGACAGCTGGGCGTGTCTCCCAACAGCCCCTAGTCAATGCTGTCCCTGTGCAGAATGTATCTGGAGAAACTGTTTCTGTTACACCGGTTCCTGGACAGACCCTGGTCACCATGGCAACAGCCACTGTTACAGCCAACAATGGACAAACAGTGACCATTCCAGTACAAGGTAAGGAGGGCAGAGTTGGACACTGAGTTTGTTCATTTGTTCCTTCCTTCCTTTCTTTCCTTCTCTCTGTTTCTTCTTTGCTGGTCCTACAGCTTAAATTCAGGGCCTGGATGCTGTCCCTGAGCCTCTTTGTGCTTAAGGCTAGTTCTCTACCACTTGAGCCACAGCACCACTTCCTGCTTTTTCTGAGTAGTTTATTGGAGGTAAGAGTCTCAGATTTTCCTGCCTGGGCCTGGCTTCCAACCACAATTCTCAGATCTCAGCCTCCTGAGTAACTAAGATTACAGGCGTAAGCCACCTAGTTCTGAGTTCTTGCATTTAATGGATAGTTACCTGAGATTTAGCAGGAGGGGCAATCTGAGATAGAGTGGCGAGGGATTAGGAGAAGTGAAATCTCTGCCAGGAAAACCTCATATTACCAACATTTTCTTTTTTCTCATCCTCTGTAACAAACTGTAGGTATTGCCAATGAAAATGGAGGGATAACATTCTTCCCAGTTCAAGTCAATGTTGGGGGGCAGGCACAGGCTGTTACTGGCTCTATCCAGCCCCTCAGTGCTCAAGCCCTGACTGGAAGTCTGAGTACTCAACAGGTGACAGGAACAACTTTGCAAGTCCCTGGTCAAGTATCCATTCAGCAGCTTTCCCCAGGTGGACAACAGCTTAAACAAGGCCAGCCTTTACCCAACGGCAGTGTTAGACCCAGGAAGACCAGCTCTTTATCACTCTTCTTTAGAAAGGTAAGTTACATACTCTTAAGCAAAGCATGTGCTTGCAAAATGTATGTTAAACAGAGTCTAAAGTAGTCTTGTTTATCTGTTAGGTTTACCACTTAGCTGGTGTCCGCCTTCGGGATCTTTGTGCTAAACTAGATATTTCAGATGAACTGAGGAAAAAAATCTGGACCTGCTTTGAATTCTCCATAATTCAGTGTCCTGAACTTATGATGGACAGACATCTGGACCAGTTGTTAATGTGTGCCATTTATGTGATGGCAAAGGTGAGTACCACTGGAGATTCTCCTTCATTACTCAGAACATTTTTAAACCGCCTTACTGAGATATCCAATCAGGTAAAATGAGTCAATATATTCACAGATACTGGCAAAGTTCAGCTTTAGAATATTCCAGTCTTTATGTTAATGTCTATATAGGATTGTTTCTACTCTTTGAATATTATGAATAATACTAGCATTTATGTATATGGTTTTTGTGACACCTGCTGTCATTTTCTAGGGCATAGTCCAAAGAATGCATTGATCATTATAACTTTTTTTTTCAAATTCTTTATTGTGATTAAGTGATTACATAGTTGCCCAAATTTCACAGTATTGTGAGATAGTGATGCTTAGTTATAGCCACAAACACATTCTAACTTTCATGAGACAAATTGTCTATCGTGGTCTATAACATTGATGAGTTCTTTGAGCTTTTTGCAATACAGTTATTTCTTCCACATTGGGTGATATGTACATTTCTTTTGTTTTGCATAGCATCAGCTGTTCCCTCTTTCCCACTCATTCCCTCCCTCCTATCACTGCTGTTGAGTTGCTTAGTTCATTTTGATCAATGTCCAGTGCAGCTGATGGGTCCCACTGTTGTATGTTCTACCCTGATTCCCTCTAGTTCTGTGTTGTCCTCCTGGTTTCCCTCCAATGTGCACATATATACCATATATGTGATTAGCAGCATGGGGTTATTTAGTAGTGATTCGACCAGATGAGTGGAAGTCCTTTGTTTCTTAAAGCTTTGTTAATTTTGTCGTATCACCTTACATTTTGGATTTAACATCCACTTATCAGGGAGACCATGTGCCATTTGTCTCTGCTCTTGGCTTACCTTGCTCAACATGGTTTCTTCTACATATAGCTATGTTTTAACCCTTTGAGGAACTGCCAGTTTTTCAATGTATGGTATCGTTTTAGATTAGCACAAACAACTTATAAAGGTCTTAATTTCTCTCTTTTCAGTTTATTATATTTGTATTGTCTTAAGGCTAGTGTTCTATCCCTTGAGCTAAGCTCCACTTCTGGCTTTTGGGTGGTTAATTGTAGATAAGAGTCTTAGCGATTTTCCTGCCCACGCTGGCCTCAAACTTTGATCCTCAGATCTCAGTTTATAAATGCAATTCTCATTTCTGATGTGTTCATTACAAGTGCATAGAAAGACAGTTTTAATATCTAGCAGTCTTGCTGAAGTCAGTTCTAATTTTAAGTAGATTCCTTAGGTTTGTCTTTGTACATGGTTATGTAATCTGCCTATTTTACTTGTCCATACTAAATGCCATGTATTTTCTTTTCCAATTACCATGACTCGAATACAATGCTGAAAGCAGAAATCTTTGTCTTTAGTTTTCCACTAAAAGTTGTACATTCACAGTTGTCCCCTTACTCCGAGTGCTAACAGATTGAGAAATTTCCTTTATATTCCTAGTGTTTTGAGTGTTTTTAATCATAAAAAGATGTTCTATTTCTGTTTAAGGTTTCTTTCTGCATTCATTGACTTAATTTATATTTTCATGTTAGACCAACTTTGCATTCCTATGTCCCATAGTTATAAATTTTATTTTTACTAATTTGTTGAGGAACTTTGTCCTTACTCATGAGCTATTGGTAATAATTTGTTATGACTTTATCAGGTTGATTCATACTGACTTAATTCCAGGGAGATATGGAAGTTATTCTGTTTGTGGTGGTATAATTTTGTATGTTAATCATATCCATTAAGTATAACAAATCCACTAGTTCTGGAGCCAACAGTAGAAAAGAGTGTAAGTCTTTATAGCCTTTGTTATACTAACCTTATCATTTCTGCTTATCTAAATGGCTTCTTTGGGTTTTAGTTGCTATCTGGGTTCATTCCCTTTGTTCAATACTTCTGTCCATTTCCTGTGTACTATTAACAAGTATACTACATCTGTTTTATTTGCTTTATTGGTTAACTGCCTGTGTCTTTACTCCAGTTTTCTTACTCATTTATGTATATTTGAAATTACTGTCTAGGTGTACTTGGTTTTAGCATCAAGAACTTTTTCTGAATATTTTAAATAAGGAGAATGTGTTTTCACTTTTGAAAGATAACTTTGCTGCAGAGAAGATTCTGGCTTTTAAAAATTTTGATTACTTTGAATTTGTTACCCTACTTCCTCTTGAACAGTTTCTGATGACAAGTTAGCTGTTTAGTGGGGCTTTTCTGTAAATGAAACACTGTTTTCTTGATATTCTCTTACTTGGACTTTAGTTTCTGGGTATGTACATCAATTTTTTTTTTGGGGGGGGGTCGGTTGTGGGGCTTGAACTCTGGGCTTGGTTGCTGTCTGTGCGCTCTACCGCTTGAGCCACAGCACCACTTCCGGTTTTCTAGTGGTTTATTGGAGATGAGTCTCAGGGAGTTTCCTGCCCGGGCTGGCTTTGAACCGTGATCCTCAGATCTCAGCCTCCTGAGTAGCTAGGATTACAGGCGTGAGCCACCAGCACCCAGCTTACATCAATGTTTTAAAATAAACTTTCAGTATTTTTTTTTTTTTTGAGATGGTCTCACTATGTAGCAGCCTAGGGTGACCTTACTCTTGATCTTCCTGTCCCTGCCTCCCAAATGCTGGTTTAAAGAATCTGCCACAATGTTAAGTTTGGGTTCTTTGAACATTCTGTTTTTCTCCCTCTGATCCCTTCTGGTATTCACATTCCACATGTTGGTGTGTTTTAATGGTACCTAAATTTCTGGTTTTTTATTTTAGATCTTAGTTTGGCAGTTTCTTTTTTTGTCTGTGGTGGTGGGGTTTTAACTGGGGTTTGAACTCAGGACCATTTTTTGGGGGTGGGAGGGTCCAGTCGTGGGGCCTGAACTCTGGGCCTGGGCGCTGTCCCTCAGCTCTTCAGCTCAAGGCTAGCGCTCTACCACTTGAGCCACAGTGCCACTTCTGGCTTTTTTCTTTTTGCTTATGTGGTGCTGAGGAATCGAACCCAGGGCCTCATGCATGCAAGGCAAGCGCTCTACCACTGAGCCACCTTCCCAGCCCTGAAAGTCAAGTTTCTATCTGACTTGGAATGATTTCATTTTGTTAAAGACTATTATTGCTACGTAGTATTTTAGGTAGCACTTGGAATTTGAAGTGAGATTAACTCATCCCAGCCCCACTCAGGACCATTTGAGCCATTCCCCAAGTCCTTTTTTGTGCTTTAGTTTATTTTTTCAGATAGGGTTTTGCTTTTAGCCCAGGCTATGAGCCTTCTACCTCTACCTTTCTCACATACTTGGGATCACAAGCACCCACTGATTTTTTTTTCAAATTTTTTATTGTGATTAAGTGGTTACATAATTTCCCAAATTTCACAGTATTGTGGGATAGTGATGCTCAGTTTAAGTTACAAACACATTCTAACTTTCCTGGAACAAATTGTCTATCATGGTCTATAACATTTATGAGTTCTATGAGCTTTATGATAACAGTTATTTCTTCCACATTGGGTAGTATGTACATTTCTTTTGTTTTGCATAGCATCAGCTGTTCCCTCTTTCCCATTTGTTCCCTCCTTCCCATCACTGCCATTAAGTTGCTTAGTTCATTTTGGTTAATATCCAGTGCAGCTGATAGGTCCCGCTGTTATGTTTTCCCCTGATTCCCTCTAGTTTTGTGTTGTCTTCCTGGTTTCCCTCCAATGTGCACATATACACCATACATGTGATCAGCAGCATGGGGTTATTTAGTAGTGGTTCGACCAGATGAGTGGAAGTCCTTTGTTTCTTAAGTCCTGTTAATTTTGTCGTATCACCTAACATTTTGGATTTAACATCCACTTATCAGGGAGTCTATGTACTGTTTGTCTCTTTGCTCTTGGCTTACCTCGCTCAACATGATTTCCATTAGCTCCATCCATTTCCCTGCAAATGCCATTATTTTGTCCTTTCTACTGGCTGCATAATATTCCATTGTGTATAGATACCACAATTTTTGGATCCATTCATCTGTGGTGGGATATCTGGGTTGTTTCCAGATCCTGGCTATTGTGAACAGTGTTGCAATAAACATGGAGCACCCACTGATTTTTGAAATAGTGTCTCACTGAACTCTTTGGTCTTGAACTGTGATCTTCCCGTGTCTGTTTTGGTGACACAGGTTTGGACGTTTGTCCAATTGGTATATGCCCTTAACACCATTTCTAGAGACTTAAAAAAAAATCACTTGCAGTAAGCATTAGGTTCACTGAGCTTTCACACTGTTAATGCCAGAAGTTCTGAGTACTCTCACTCTTTGCCAGGTCACAAAAGAAGACAAGTCTTTCCAGAATATCATGCGTTGTTACAGGACTCAGCCACAGGCATGTAGCCAGGTAATTATGTTTTCTCTTGGAGTTGAAAAGAAAGCTAAAGTATTTGATGGTAAATTTAAAAATTACCTGTAGTGGGTTTTGTGTCCTTCTTTTTGAGAATAAACAGCTAAGGCTATTTTAATTCAGAGAATCTTGACATAGATGCAAATTAAGGAGTTAGTTGGTTTCTATGTCACTTTTCATCTAGTTTAATAAGAACACTACTGTACATTTAACCAAAATCTTATATGAAATTTACATGAATTAAAATGAAAATTCAATTAATCTTTAATACAATTTATCTTGAATACTGTTTCTGAAAGTTTCTTTTTTTTTTTTTTTTTTGGTCCGGTTGTGGGGCCTGAACTCTGGGCCTGGGCACTGTCCCTCAGCTCTTCAGCTCAAGGCTAGCACTCTACCACTTGAGCCACAGAGTCACTTCCGGTTTTTTCTTTTTTGCTTATGTGGTGCTGAGGAATCGAACCCAGGGCCTCATGCATGCAAGGCAAGCACTCTACCACTGAGCCACCTTCCCAGCCCAGTTTCTATCTGACTTGGAATGATTTCATTTTGTTAAAGACTATTACTGCTACGTAGTATTTTAGGTAGCACTTGGAATTTGAAGTGAGATTAACTCTCTTTAAGGCTTGTAGTATAGTAGCTGTGTAACTGGTTACAGTTCTTTTGGGGTTTTTTGAGGCTGGGCTTTTAATCGCCTGCTTTAGCTTTCCAAGTACTGGGATTACAGGTGTTTGCTACCACTTCTGACTTGGGTGCAGTTTTAACATCCCTGAGGAACACAACTTAGTATTTTGGGGAAAATCAAGTAGCCTGTCAAGGTCTCATTATCTATATGATTAATAAAAACTAATTTCCATCCCTTTCTGCTATCTTTTTAAAGGTCTATAGAAGTGTGTTGATAAAAGGAAAACAAAAAAGAAGAAATTCTGGCAGCAGTGAAAGCAGAAGCCATCAAAATTCTCCAACAGAACCAAACAAAGACCGAGGTAAGTGAGTGCTTCGTGAACTTACCCAAATACGATTAGAACTATATTTCTTCTTAGCCTAGAGAAAAAGGATTACAAAAAAACTACTAGAGAAAGTCTTTCTTGGAAAAGGATTGGCTGTAATAATAAATTTTAAATTTAGTGTCAAAGTTGTCTTTCCTTCCAGTTGTGAAGCACAAAGTGCATAACATTTTTCTTCAGGGAAATTAGGAAAGGTTCCAGACAGGCAGCATGCCAGTTGGAGCCAGGCCACAGAAATGCCATTGTAGACTTGTACCTCGCAGTGCAGAACTCTGGTCCTAGAAAACTTGTAATATTTATGGTTTGGGTGTATGGTTATTTTCCTGAGTTTTGCACTGTGGTATAAACAAGTGTCAAGTCAGACAGTGTGGTAAATATCTATAATCCTTGCACTCCAGATTATAGTGAGGCCAGCCTGTTGTTAAAGCAAAAACTGTGTCACCAAAACTAACATTCCCTCTACTGTCATTAATAAGTAGTGCAATAGATGGTCTCAGTCACTGAAATTTTTCTGAAAATAGCGTGTACTAGCAGCCTCTTTTTGATTAACATTAACATCCTTTATTTTACTGTCTGCAGCCAGTAGAGACTCCAGTCCAGTTATGAGGTCAAGTAGCACCTTGCCAGTTCCACAACCCAGCAGTGCCCCTCCTACACCTACTAGGCTCACAGGTGCAAACAGTGACATGGAAGAGGAGGAGAGAGGAGACCTCATTCAGTTCTATAACAACATCTATATAAAACAAATGAAAGCATTTGCCATGAAGTACTCACAGGCAAATACAGTAAGTTCAACATGGATTATTTCATGTTTCTTCCAGTTCTAAGAGATGGAGGAGTCCCTCAATTTCAATGAATCTATGGAAATCTCTAGCTAGTGATTTGACTGAACAACATTTCTACTCCTGAGCATTAAGGATTAAGAATGTATGTGTGGAGCTGTAACGATGAACATATCTCCTCCCATTACTTAATAAAAGCAAATAAGAAGGAAAAGGAAAGCTGGGCGTTTGTGGCTCATGCTCAAGAGGCAAAGATTTGAGGATCATGGTTCAAAGCCAGGCAGAAATAGTCTATGAAATTCTTCAGTTAACCAGCAAAAAGCCAGTAGAACAAGTGGTAGAGCTCCAGCTTTGAGCAAAAAAGCAAAGCAGAAGCACAAGGCCCCTGAGTTCAAGCTCTGCCCCATACTGGGAACAACCACCATAAAAAAGACTAACACTACATTGGATTCCCTACCCCCTACAAGGACAGAGATATGAGAGACAGTAGCTACATGAAGTTTTAATTTTTCAGTATTTAACAGTGATGACTTTGCAAACTAAACACTGTTTCCTAGTGTAATACAGTATTTTCAAACTTATGGGGTTATGAAGATTAAATGATGTAACTTATTTAAAAAATACTTAGAACAGTGACTGGCACCAACTGGCACCAACTTTTAAGCACTTAAAAAGTTTTAGTATGATAGTTTCTTTAGGTTTGTTATTGTAAACATCACTAGTTTATTGTACTGATTTTGTTTATAACAGATGGATGCCCCTCCACTCTCTCCCTATCCATTTATAAGAACAGGCTCCCCTCGCCGAATACAGCTGTCTCAAAATCATCCTATCTACATTTCCCCACATAAAAATGAAACAATGCTTTCTCCTCGAGAAAAGATTTTTTACTACTTCAGCAACAGTCCATCAAAGGTGAGACTAACTAAATCTTAGTCTTTGTTGTAGGATGCAAAAATCAGGCATGTGCTTAGCATAGGCATTGACTACTAGAGTGATGGGAACTGCCAGGGAACAGTAGCCATAAAGTCCCAATGAAGCAGAAACCAGATATGGGTTTTTTGAGGACTTGAGAACTGGCTATAAATCTGGACATTTGTGGCTTTTATTTCAATTGTAAAAATTATTTTGTTGTTGGTTGTAAAGCTTGAATTCAGGGCCTGGACACAGTCCCTGAGCTCTTTTGCTCAAGGCCAGTTGTTCTAGTACTTTCAGCTACAGCTCCACCTCTGGTTTTCAGGTAGTTAATTAGAGTTTCATGGCCAAAGCCTAGACTGGCTTTGAACCACACTCTTCAGATCTCAGCCTCCTGAGTAGCTAGGATTACAAGTGTGAGCCACCAGTGCCTAGCTTTATTTGTAGAAATTGTTTCTACACATACATTTGTTTAAAAAAAAAACAACTTGGATCTCTAAACTAGTTTGAGTTCCTAATTCTGGGCAAGGAAAGTGGCTCAGTGGTAGAATGCTTGCCTTGCATGCATGAGGCCCTGGGTTCGATTCCTCAGAATCACATAAGCAGAAAAAGCCGGAAGTGGCGCTATGGCTCAAGTGGTAGAGTGCTAGCCTTGAGCTGAAGAGCTGAGGGACAGTGCCCAGGCCCAGAGTTCAGGCCCCACAACTGACCAAAAAAAAAAAGAAAGAGTTCCTAATTCTGGGACAGGCAGTGTCTCAAGAGAGAAATAGAGTACAGTGTGACAGTCATATGCAGGTTTATGTGGCCTGAACAAACGAAGAGCAACTTCAGTTAGGCTTCATGAAGTGAGGAAGTTGTTGGGATCTGGGAGTATATCCAAGGAAAAGCAGATAAGGGAAAGTTGTTTGATCTTTGAGGCAAAAGGCTAGCTCACTGGGCATTATATAAAGCATTTGGCGGGGAGGGGTAGGGGGGCGGGATGAAAAGCACTGACAACCACATGCTATGTGCTATCTTTGATCAGTCCCACATAGGATAACTCTAGGGTTAAAAAAGGAAATATTGGAACAATGAGCAAAATTGAAATATAGACTTCAATGTTTGAAGACTTTTACTGATGATAGATTACAATAGAAGGTGATGCTTAGAGGTAAAATGGTAGCCCAATAACTCCTTTCAGTGAAATCTGAAAAACTAAAAGGTAATATACACTACTGCTTATCTGATCATAGATTTCCTAAATATGAAATGTACAGGTAAGTATTAAACAAGATAATTAGTATCACAATAGTTCAAAAAAACGGCTGGAAAGAGTGTCATGGGCCCTGAGTTCAGTCCAATTAAAAAAATAGTAAGCAGTTTTGTCAGGACAGAAATCAAGAGTTAACTATTCTGCTTCCATATAACCTAATTTAAATGTAAAGACACAATTTAAAGGTTGGCAACCTGGACAGTCAGTTGGTGATAAGTAAAAAACTATACAATTAAAAAAATGTGTACGAGCCGGGCGCTGGTGGCTCACGCCTGTAATCCTAGCTACTCAGGAGGCTGAGATCTGAGGATCGCGGTTCAAAGCCAGCCCGGGCAGGAGAGACCGTGAGACTCCTATCTCCAATAAACCACCAGAAAACCGGAAGTGGCGCTGTAGCTCAAGTGGTAGAGCGCTCGCCTTGAGCTGAAGAGCTGAGGGACAGCGCCCAGGCCCAGAGTTCAAGTCCCACGACCAAAAAAAAAAAAAAAAAAAAAATGTGTACGAGCATGCCTCAATAGGGATAGGCCTTGAAAACATATGTGAAAGAAATACATGAGATTCTATCCCCGTGTAATGTTCAGGAAGGGCAAGTTTATAAGGAGATTAGTGGTTACCTAGAGAGTCAAGTAAAAAACTGTGATGGTTGCACAACTTTGGGAGAAGTCCAAAAGCCATGGAGTTGTAAACTGTAAATGAGTAAATTATATGGTATGTGAATTACAGCTTGATTAGCTAATACTAGTAATGTTAGAAAAATTAGATTTCATAGCAAATGATAGTATCAATGTAGAGATTCATTTTCTAATGTGGATATGCTGTCTTAAACAGAAAAAGTTCAGTGAAGGGACAACATAATAAAGTAGGTATAGAGATATCAATGATTAGGAACATTAAGCAAACTGGTTGACATTTCTAGAACACTCAAAGTACGCATGGAACATTTATAAACATAGACCACGTTTTGGATTGAAACAGAAGTCTCTGTTGTTATTGGGGATTGAATTCAAGTGACTTGAGCATTTTCAGCAAGTGCTCTTCCACATTACATTCCATTGGTAAATTTTAAAGGTTTCTAGTAATGTATTTTTTTCTGGACACTATGGTATTAAATAAATCATTAGGAATGATATGTGGAAAAATTTTTGGAAGCTAAATCACAGATTTCTATGGATTAGAAAACACACAAGAAATTTCAAAGTATTTTATACTAAAATGAGAACCCACAACATTAAAATCTGTGGAATACAGCTAAAGCAGTACTAAAAGGGAAGAATTACAGCACTAAACTTAAAAGGAAAATGTCAAATTAGTGGGCTCAGATTTCAACTAAAATCACTGAAATAGAAAACTGGAGAAATGTTGATATATCTCTGTGCAGATTTCTCAGGAAAAAAATAAAATGCCCAAAGTGTTGAAAGTTGACTTAAGACATAAGTAAAATTCAAGAACATCTAGCCCTCGAAATAAATTTCTAGTTTAAAACCCTTTTCTCAAAATTGTAAGCCAAGCTTTGGCTTTACTAACAAAATGTATAAAGTGAAAACATATTTTAATAGTTGAAGAAAACATCTGAAAATCTGCAACATACATGCATATAGAAACTCCCAAAGAACTTCCTGAGAGAAGTTAATAATGAAAGTTTGCCAAAATACCTACAGATAATCAGGAGTAAAGCATAATCAGGAGTAAAGCAAAGTATGTCCACTCTCATTTCTGGTTCAACACTGGAATTGGAGGCTCTACCATGTGCAATAAGGCAAAATAAAGAAGGCATTCAATTATATAACACAGAGAACCTACAAAAGTTTCTGGAACTAAGGTTACACAACCAGTATGCAAAACTAAAATGTACTATAGCACTCAAGAATCAAATTTTAAGATACCATATGTAGATAGGATCAGAAATTAATAGGAATGAAAGACCTGAGAAAATGTTTATAAATTGGAAAACAAGGTAATTTTTCTTCAAATTACTTGTACAAACTGATTCTAAAACTTGTATGAAAAAAAGGAACTACAATAAGTAAGGAACAATTTGTTGTTTTTTTTTTTTTTTGGGGTCCGGTCGTGGAGCTTGAACTCTGGGCCTGGGCGCTGTCCCTCAGCTCTTCAGCTCAAGGCGAGCGCTCTACCACTTGAGCTACAGTGCCACTTCCTGAGCTACAGCGCCACTTCCAGGAACAATTTGTATATGTGTGTATTACTACTAGAGCTATTGAGCCTTGCACTTATTTAGCTTTTCCATTGTGCCTTTAAACTCAAATACACATGGGCTATATATGGACCTCCCATAGACTGTCAATACTTCCATCAACCCCATACCTGTCTTTTGCCTTATCTAAAGTCTTAAAAATTAAGACAGTGTGAATCCTCCAACTGTTTCAAAATTGTTTTAGTTGCTAGGCATCAGTGTCTTATGTCTATAATCCTAGCTATTCAGAAAGCTGAAATCTGGACAACTACATTTCAAAGTCATTCTGGGCAGAAAAATCCACAAGACCCCATCTCGAATTGGCCAGCAAAATGCCAGGCTAAGTACATAGCTCAAATGGTTGAGCGCCAACCATGAGCAAGTCAAGTGAATGTAAGGCCCTAAGATCAAGCTCGTGTATCAAAAAAAAAAAAAAAAATCTAGGCGTGGTGCATGTGTCCAGTGACCTGCATGAGGCCCTGAGTTCACACTGCACTACTACAAAAAGAATTTTCTGTAAGAGCTGCAGACTGAGGAAATATCTACAAATCACATTATCTGATCAAGGATACACACACACATACACAACTATTTAACGAATTCTCAAAATCAAATGGGAAAAGACTGCCAAATATAAAAGTTGGTAAAATATTTGAACACTTTTTACCTGCCTACCAAATGGCTAAAATTCTGTATATTGACAGTTGTAGAGCAAATAAGACTTTTTTTTTTTTCTGGTCATAGGGCCTGAACTCAGGGCCTGGGCGCTGTCCCTCAGCTCTTCAGCTCAAGGATAGCACTCTACCATTTGAGCCACAGCGCCACTTACAGCTTTTTCTGCTTATTTGGTGCTGAGGAATCAAACCCAAGGCCTCATGCATGCAAGGCCCCAGCAAATAACACTTTTATATACAGAACGGTCTCTAGCTATTCAGCAAGACAGTTTGGCAGTTCATTCTAAGGTTGAATATAAACTTAGAATCAGTAATCTCATTCCTAGGTATTTGCCAAGTGAAATACTTTTGTTCATATAAAATGAATAAATCTTTATGGTAGCTTTTTTTGTTGCTGCTGCCAGGCCTGGGGCTTGAACTCAGGGCCTGGGTGCTGTTTTTGAGATTTTTTGCTCAAGGCTAGCTTTATACCACTTACTTCTAGTAACCTTAATCATCAAAAATTTAAAAAATTCTGAAATGTTCTTAAAGTGCTTAATGGATTAACTTGCAGTAGACAATGTAATAATAATAATAAAACCATTCATCTGGATGGCAGTGGCTCATACCTGTAATCCCAGTTACTGGAAGATCATAGTTTAAGCTATGCCAAGGTAGAAAAGTTGAGCACCTTTCACAACTGAGAGCTCAAGCAGTAGAGCTCCTACCAAGTGTGAGGCTCTGAGTTAAAACTACCCCGGTGCTACCAAAAAGTTCAAGAAAGGGCTGGAGGCATGGCTCAATGGTAGAGTGCCTTAGCAAGCATACAGCTGAGCTCAAACCCCAGTACTGTCCCCTCACCCCCAAAATGCATTATTGCTGAAGTGACACTACAATCAGTAAGCTACTTAGTACATGATTCTATTTCTGTTATATTCCAGAAAAGGCAAACTATAGAGACAGGAAACACCAGTGGTTACTTGAGGGTATATAGATGTCATAGGAGGTCATGAAGGAATTTTTTGAAGAAAATGTTTTATAGTATCTACTGTAACAGTTATACAAATGATATTTGCCCAAACATGCAGAAGTATACACTAAGAAAGATAAAATCTTACTTAACAAGGGAAACTATTTGGGGTAAGGTTAAGCAAAGCTGGGCACTGGTACCTCATGCCTTAATCCTAGCTTCTCAGGAAGCTGAGATCTGAGGATCTCGTGCTTCGAAGCCAGTTGGGGCAGAAAATTCCATGAAATTCTTATCTCCAGTAAACTACTCAGAAAATGCCACAGTAGTGCTGTGGCTTAAGTGTTGGAGTGCTAGCCTTGAGCAAAAAAAATCCCAGGGACAGTGCCCAGGCCGTGGGTTCAAGTCTCAGGACCTCCCCCCCCCCCAAACCACACAAAAATAAGTTGAACAGTCAGAGTAGTGGTTGTGAATCCTACTTCTACAATATCACTAACTGGGTAGATATCAGAAGAAATTTCAACACAGAATTGGGAGTTTCTCCCAACAAGAGATAGATGATTGCTGAGACCAAAGGAGAATATTACAAAAGTAGCAGCCACTTGGGTCAATAGCCAACCTATAACAAACATTTACATTGTCACGAAGAAAGTCCTCTACTGGGGTGCTGGGAAGGTGGCTCAGTGGTAGAGCACTTGCCTTGCATGCCTGAGGCCCTAGGTTCAATTCCTCAGCACCACATAAGCAAAAAGAAAAAAGCCGGAAGTGGCACTGTGGCTCAAGTGGTAGAGCGCTAGCCTTGAGCTGAAGAGCTGAGGGACAGCGCCCAGGCCCAGAATTCAAGCTCCACGACGGGACCCAAAAGAAAAAAAAAAGGTCCTCCACTGTCACACAAAGTCAATGAAGATGCAGACTAATTATCAGTGATAACTTCAGCGGGTGGTACTGCCTGCTGAAGAATATAAACTATTATTACTTAAAAACAGCTGGGAGGAAATACGTCAATAGAAGGTTGGCTAGAGAAAGACATACCATAAAAAGATACATATATACTGATGCCCATATATACTGATATGTGAAGATCTAACATGTATATACAGATATTCTATATGGTACTTAAGTATGCCATCTTTTAAAAAAAAACTCACTGATACACAATATTACATTTCTAGGTATAGATCTATTCCTTGAAAAATAGTAGATGTATACACCCAAACCAGCTTTGTTTAGTAGAAGAATAGTAGGTATTCCTGGAGGATCTAGGATACTTTATACCAATTTCATTTTAGAATAAACACTTACAAATGGCCAGGTGCTAATGGTTCATGCCTATAATCCTAAAACACTTGGGATTATGAGGATCATGATGACAGCCCAGTCCAAAAGTTTGCAAAACCTCAACCAATAGCTAAATGTGGTGGCACACATCTGTCATCCCAGCTAAGAAAACTTTGATGAGGTTTGTAGTTCCAGGTCAGGTCAGCTCAGGCAAAAATGTTTATAATCAACTCAATAAAAAAGGCTGTGCGTAGTACTGCATGCCTGTCATCTCAGCTATGGTGGGAAGCACGGATACGAAGTTCATAGTCCAAGATGGCCTACGTAATGAGGCCCTATCCCTATCTCAGAAATAACAGAACATGGCTGGGCATATGGCATGTGCCTGTCATCCCAGCAAGAAAGGGAAGCAGAAAGGAAGATTAGAGCGTAGTTGAGCTTGGGCATCAAGCAAGACTATGTTCAAAACATAAAGGACCCAGGAGCTGGTGACTACTCAAGGGGCTGATATCTGATATCAAACCACTGTCTGGGAGACTTATCTCCAATTAACTTCCAAAAGAAGCTGGAAGTGGAGCTGGCTCAAGTGGTAGGGGAAAAAAAGCTCAGGGGACAGAGTCCAGTCCAAGTTCCACAACTAGCACAATTAAAACACAAGTATGGTCTAGTAGCTTAAGTATAAGAACACCTGCATAACAAGCTTTAAGTCCAGAGTTCAAACCCCAACACCACCAAAAAATATACATGTTTATAGTCTACTGTGATGTGTAAATGAATTATGACAGAATGTCGTGAATTATATAATTTGTATATATAGAATTAGCATTGAAGTAGCATCATGAGGTTCATCAGTTTGTTAAGCCAGGTGGTCAGTGGCTCATGCCTGTAATCCTAACTACTCAGGAGATCGGAGGATTGCAGTTTGAAGCCAGCCTGGGCAGGAAAGTCTATCAGACTCTTAACCTACCAAAAAAGCTGGAAGTGGACCTATGACTGAAATGATAAGAGCACTAGCCTTGAGCAGAAGGCAGCTCAGGGACAACACCCAGGACTTGAATCTGAGTCCCTAAAAAAAAAGTCTAAGCACACATTACATAGAAACTTGTCTATGCGTTATATAAGAATATACAATTAATATATCTCAAAAATAGTGCAAAAACAAAAAAAGGAGCTGGAGATAATGTCTCAATAGTATGCTTGAATAGCAACTGCAGGAACTAGAGTTCAAATGCCAGTATCTCCAAAAAGAAAAAATTGTGAAACTACATATGCTAATAAGCAAAAGGAACATGTTATTTTTATCTAAAACCTCAGATGTGTTTTATTATTTCAAAGTAAAGAATAAAAATGATGGGCTAGGGGTATAGCTCAGTGGTAGAGTGCTTATTACCTAGCAAGCATGAGTCCTGGGGCTTGAAAGAGAATAAAAGAGGGAGTGGGGAGGGGAAGGGAAGGAAATAATTGACTTATGGTCACAGGGGGACTTGAGGGGGAAAGTGAGTGGAAGAGGGGGAAAGGAGATGAGGGGGAGTGAAGTTATAGAGAAGCATTATATGCATGAAAGATTCATGAAACCCTCTAAAAACCATTAAAGGGAAGGAGTTAAGAGTAATAGCATGAATTTAATCAAAGTATATTATATGCATGCTATAAATATCAGAGTGAAGCCCCTTTGGACAGTTTATGCTAATAGAAATTTTTTAAAAAAGGATTAGCCAAAAATGAACATGTGAGGATTATTCCTATTTCTCCAAATTTGTATATATGTATAGAATTAGCATTGAATTTCCTAAACACAATGAATATTCTTAATAGGCTTTTCATAGGGAAATATGAAGTACACATAAATATTAAAATTATAACCAACAAACTGCTAGAGAATGCATACAGCCAACTGGAGAAACTTAATGCTGAAGGCACAGAAGAGCTCCTGCCCATTAGGCAGTGCCTTTCTCCCATCAAGGCTCATCGGAGCCAGAGCACACGAAGTAATTTGAATAGCATCTCAGTTCTCCCCAGGATAACAGAACTAGTCAGTGCAGTCGATGGATACCTCAGAGAATTAAAACTTTACAAAAGTTCTAGTTGAGTCAGGCTTAACACATGACTGAAGGGACTATCAGTGAAATGATGCTGCAGGAGTAGAGGGGCGGCGGAGCCCATGCCTCTCCAGCCCTATTTTGCTGGACTCTACTGGACTTTTTTTGCCTGAGCTGGCATCAAACCTCAATCCTCAGTCTCCTTTGTAGCTAGGATTATAGGCATGAACATGGGTACCCAAATGAAATGCTATTTTTGAAAAGATGTGTAAAAGTGATGATAAAACATGGCATTGGAATTTGATGCTCTATAGCTGTCTTTAAAAATCTCCTAGCTACTCAGGATAAGATCTGAGAATCACAATTCAAAGCCCAGCCTGAGCAGAAAAACTCTGAGATTCTTACCTCCAATTAACCAGCAAAAAAACACAGTAGAACTGTGGCTCAAGTGGTAGAACAGTCTTGAGCAAGAAAGCTAAGGAACAGCAGCCAGGTCCTGAATTCAAGCCCCAGTACTGGCACAACAAAGTAAAATAGCATAATTTTGTGAACTTCTACATTGTAGACACGTACAGTGTATTATTAAAACTCACCTATGAAGCTTGTTTACAAAAACAGAAATGTTCCACCTATACTTGAAGGGTCAGCAGTCTTAGCCAGCTGAGAAGTGAAGCTGACAGAATGTATTAGTGTTTCTTTGAGGTAATTCTTAGAGGTAAACTTCTTAACTCATTTGAGGTTCTTTATTAACTTAACACTGAGATACATGCATTAGCATTTTAGTTTTTCTATCCGTTTTTCTCCCACTATAGAGACTAAGAGAAATCAACAGTATGATACGGACAGGAGAAACTCCAACAAAAAAGAGGGGGATTATCCTGGACGATGGAAGTGAATCACCAGCAAAAAGAATCTGCCCAGAAAATCATTCTGCTCTATTACGCCGTCTCCAAGACGTAGCTAATGACCGAGGTTCCCACTGAGGTTAGTCTGTGCTGTTAAAAGCATCTTTGCACTAACTGTTCAGCAGCGTTGTTTACTGCTGCTAGTCAGATGCATGCTAGGTGACAACTCTTTTCTTTAATCTCACCAAATTACAGCCTGTTAGAAACAGGAAGGGAAGGGATACTTTGGTGAGAAACTGATTTTATTCCTTCCAATATCCTTAGGATATTTTTATTTATCCCAACTGCCTTTTCCTCTCCCATTTAGTGCTTAGTATCAACACTGCTCAGAGTCCAGTGACTTTTAACTTTTTGACAAACCTTTACAAATAACTAGAGAATGAAATGAATTCACATGAGGTCTCTGCTGATATGTTACAGCAGAGGAACTGTATTTCAAATTCATTCCTGACCTTTTATGCTTAGCACTAGTCCTTATGATAAGGAGAACAAAATTTATTAGTCCCAACACACTCAGTAAGAGTGAGATTTTTATGTTCACAAAGTAGAAGACAACGGAGGTTCCAGGCCACTAGCTTGAGTCTCCTGCGCCCTCTATGCACTTTCCCCCTTCCCCAGTCAGTAAAAGTTGTGCAATGTCTCAGTGAACCTGTGTATGTGGTGGCACTTTAGGGTGTAAAATGTGTGATTTTGTAACCCAGATTTTGCTACATATTTGTGATGGCACTTTCTACAATGTGAACTAGTAAGTACAAAACTTAAGAGGCAAAACAGCCAACATTTTCTTTTGTACTTTCATAAATTGTTAATGCCCCAGAGCCACCTTTTGGGCATTGCTTTAAATTCTCCAGTGTTTGTTTTTTTGTTTGTTATTGTTATATAGGGGTTATCAGCTGACTAAGAAAAGATTTTTAAATTGAGCTAGGGGACTACTTTAGCATGTATAATATCTTCCGGTCTGTTCCTGATAGGTTGGAGAATTTAGATTTTTATTAGTTCATAGTGCCATTTATATTCAGTTAGAAAAGTATTTAACAGCTACTGAATTATCTATACATACCTTTGTTAATCACTATTGATCCAGCAGTAATCTTATTAGGGAGAAAATTCAATTGTAAATTGAATCAGTATAAACAAAGTTACTAGGTAACTTCATATTGTTTTAAAGGAAATATGAAACTTACACTATTCAAGTAGAATAGTGTTCAGCAAAACTATTTATAAAGCCTCTGAAGAAGTTAACTGCTACTGTAATTTTATATGAAAATAAGTATTTTTCAATAAAGCATTTATAAATTAACCTGTTTATATTAAGAAAAGGCATTTAGTTCTTGCATAAATGACAAAGAACAATCATTTATTGGTTTATTTTGTCTACCGAACACATTAGTCATTCATCATTTAAATATCTGACTTCATTAGAAACCGTTTTAACATTTTTTCTTCCTTCTACCATAAAAATACAGTAATTTGCCTTAAAAAAAAAAAAACTATTAACAAGCATTCTGATTTCCACTCACTAATGTTTCTCAGAGACCTCAGTTTATATCTCAGTATAAGTCAGTAATACAGTAGGCTCAAGACTGAAATTCAAACTATTTTCCACTCGAAAGTGCCAAGCTCTGGAATCTGTCTCTATATCCATCCTTTCTACATCCTAAGCTGTACAACCAACACAAGTGATTTAAAAACAAGTAGTGCCAATTTCCCATCTGCTCAGTTAATTTAAATGAATGCAACTTACCTTTAGCATTATGTTCAGAAAAATACTTAAGTCTCAAGGTCCCCAATAATTTGGAGTACTGTACTAAATAACCACCCTTAGACACTTCTGACAGAAGTAACGCATTACTTAACGAGAGGTTTCCACAACCTGCTGATGGAACCAATGCGTACATGGAAAACACTGATACCCAGTCACAGTTCACACGGTTTACTCTTCAGGCCATCCTTGCCATTAGTCAGCTTTAAGTAGGCCAGAGTCCAACAGGAAAGTGCATGGTGCACCAGATTCACCATCTCTTAAGTTGCTACTGTTTTCTCTTCTTTACTGAAAGGCTGTACTGAACCAGGCTTTACCCATGACAGGCCAGCAACATGAACACTTTTATTGTGTTGTTCTTCAGGCTTCTAGGCACAATAAAAAAAAACAGACATAAAAAGGATTGGTGAGGAGAGTTCAGGATTGAAAAGACTGGTTTCCCAAACATTATCTGTGTGTTATTTGGTCTCCAATAAAGACATTTTAGAGAAGAAACAGGAAGCGAACCATTTCAGAGTTGGTTATTGACTTACTTTCTGAGTTAGCATCTTCTCTCTGGCTTCATCATGTACAGAAGGATTCCAGGGAGAAAAGCTTTAGGACAGAAAGTATTAAAAACAGTTGGTGGCTTTCTAAATCTATATAACATCTACTTTAAAAAAAAAGACAATTCTAATATTTAATGAGGAAGAATACTTTGAAAGAGAAATCTTTAGTCAGTTATCAACACGTATGTTTTTATTTTTGTTTTTTTCTGTGTGTGCCCATTACTGGAGCTTGAACTCAGGGCCTCAGATCTCTCTTGGCTTTCTAGCTGACATTCAGCACCCTATTACTTGAGCCAACATGTGTGTTTTTAGATAGTATCTAATTGATTTTTTTCCATATAACTTTCCCCTAGACTGATTTACTTCTTCAACACATCAGCCCCTGAAATATTATTATTTAATGATGAAGAAAGCAAGGCACAGTTAAGACAGTAATTGATCTCCTGAAGCCAAGTAGTTCACTTACTAAACCGAAGTTTTAGTGCTTAGACTATGCTCCCTTCCCAGTAGTGCAAAGACCACCAGAGAGTGAAATCACCAGCCCTTCTTGCTGCTCTTCCCCAAGATCAAACAGCAGTGCTACAGGCACCTGTCACACTTACACCATTCAGCTTCCCCCTCCCTTCCCCAGGTCTGGATGTCTGCAGGGTTGGAGTGGTTGGAGAGCTGCAGCTACAACCATCTCCTAGAAAGTCCTCACAGATAAATGAGCACATTACAAGGTCCTCAGGAAGCCAAAGTCACTCAGATATTGTGCTGTTGGCAAATAATGCAAGGCTTTTTTAAGGAAAGAGCCCAGGAGAAATTGAGTTAGATAGGCTATAGGCTAACAGATTGTACATTCTTTTAAGTCCTCATTCTAAGGTCACCGGAAAATGAAGTGCAAAGCATAGTTTATCTAGATGATGTGGCACTTACCTAATTGCATAGGGATCTTCGATTTTAGGTTGGTCAAACAAGCGAGCAGTACACACCTTAACACTGTCAACCACTTTATTTTTAAAAAGGTGAACATCCTTTTCATATCTGTGTTAAACATTTAGATAAAGTTAGCAACTTAGTAAACTTAGCTGCATTTTAACATTTAACTTAAATAACAAAAGTTACATACAGTACTGCAGCCTCTGGGTTTAGGGGGCTTGTTGTATCAATCTTGTAGAAAACTCTCCTGGCATACATTAAAACTTGCCAAATATGATTATGGTTCCGCCTGAAGAGAAACAGGGTGTAATTACTGATGCTCACTCCTGCCATCAAATGTCATGAAAGGAACACTGATGTACTAACCTCCATTTTGCAAATGCTCTCTTCACATCCAGTTCACCTGAGGTGGGATCAACTAGCGGGTGGAAGACAGGAATATCAAACACCAAGCGCTGTATTTAAAGAGACAAGTCCTTTTAACGGAGGTGGTAGTGCTCATTAATTCCCTAGAGATGGTAGTTACCAAAGAAGCCTCAAGACAAGTTGGCACTTATTCTGTTTAAAGTTACAGAGCTGTCCCAAGACAGGTGAAGTAGCCATTATTCCGTAAAACTAAAGTGACCATGTCCTCAGTCACAGTGAGAACTGCCACACATGCCCCAGGCTCACCCCATGCAGAAAAGGATGAAGCTTCAGGCAGATTACAGTGTCACAGAAAATGCAACAAAGCATCAAATCCTCCCAACTACAGGAAAAACGGACTTCTTGGTGAACTGGCCATTAAACATATTAGGTGAGGAAAAGAACCAAGAAAGCTATAGGCCCTTTAATTCCATCAGAGAACGGAGCACCACAAACTAGGTCAGACTATCTCCTACTTACTGGACAGTCACCATCTGGATAGTTATCAGGGATATAAACTGTGAACTTGAACACACCATCTTGATAAAGCCCATGCCGTATGAATATCACTCCAAACCACACTGCAGGAAAAAAAAAATCAACATGGTAAAGGCCTAAATACATGTTAGACCAACTGTGCTAAAAATTCAGAGCAAATCAAATCCTTATCTTACTTAATGCGGAGCGGTAAGATGGCTGCACATAGACTCCTGGTAATTTCTGCTTCACAACCAAGGTACTATAAAAGGAAAGCAGCATAGTAATTATATGTCAAAGACACAAGTAAATCAAAACATTCACATTTACTTTTCAAGGAGTCATCCCTCACAGGGAAGCTGATCTCCAAGTCATCACAGTCTCTCACCTGCCACAACTCTGGAAACAGACCTGATCACTACCACTTACCATACCAGCTTAGTAACCAACCCCAACAGAGGACTCCAGATCGACACACAAAGGATGAGTGACTTTGTGACAGAGCTCACATACATTCAAAACTGTTTTTACTATTAATACAACAGTTCCCTTAGCGGCTTCAGTAATTCATAGTAATTTCAGCAATTTAGGTATATTAAATAAAATTTAATTTGGAAAAGAAAACTTTCAAATGTTCTATCACTTAGGTGTCCTTTTGAGTCTGACTCATCAGATCCCATGACAGAGGGCTGTGTTTAGATAAGTGGTGTTGCTTGAAGGTAGGCATCATGTGTGTTCACATTGTATTCTGCTCCCAAATAATACCCCAACTCAAGATGCCTGGATTCTAGGGGCCTTGTTAGAATAGGGGGCACAGTGAGTGTCAGCGCTAAGACAAATATCCTCATAAAGGCTTTGCTGGGACCTAGTGACCCACTGACAACCACCATGCTGTTCCTGGTAACTGCAGCCGAACTGTGATTCAACCTCAAAAAGTACAGTGCTGACCTATGCCCTTATAACACACTCATCTGCCAATCCCGAGAAGCCTTTCATTGACTAATTGCCAACACATTTTTAAGCATAGTCATTTATTCCATTTTGAAGTCACTAAGGTTATGAATGTCAACAGCAGCATGGTCTAGAAGATGTATCAAACTACAATGAGGTTTGCCAGCAAAGGCAATTTTGTGTTGTAGCCCACAGCAAACAATCACAATAGGAGCCTGTCCAGCTCACTGCTCAGCCCCAAGCACAAGACCTCCATTATAAAGCTGAAAGGACCATTGCTACCAAGTCATACTCAGCCAGTGATGCTGGGGCCTCAGACCCTGTGGCCATTATCACACGAGTACACTGAGGGAAGCACCCAGGGTTCTTGTACAATAACTGCACCACCAGGAAAAATTTTTCAGCCATCACGGAGCTTGAACCTCACGGTCTGGCACTGTCCCTGAGCTTTTTGTTCAAGGCTAATGCTCTACCACTTTAAGCCACAGCTCTATTTCTGGTGGTTAATTGGCGATAGTTTTACAGACTTTCCTGCCCAGGCTGGCTTTAAACTACAATCCTCAGATTCAACCTCCTTAGTAGCTGGGATTACAGGTGTCAACCACCAGGGCATAGCTACCAGAGGAGTTTTTTTTTGTTTTTTTTTGGGGGGTCCGGTTGTGGGGCCTGAACTCTGGGTCTGGGTGCTGTCCCTCAGCTCTTCAGCTCAAGGCTAGCGCTCTACCACTTGAGCCACAGCACCACTTCCGGCTTTTTTTTCCTTTTTGCTTATGTGGTGCTGGGGAATCAAACCCAGGGCCTCAGGCATGCAAGGCAAGCGCTCTACCACTGAGCCACCTTTCCAGCCCCAACCAGAGCAGTTTTTAAGTGAGAGAAGAACTGATTCTCTAGACTTTGTCCCTTTAACAAATGATCCAAACAAATGCTACCTGAATCCACTGTGCCTCCCTGTGCCAAGCACCGTGTTATCACTAACAACTCTGAACAGATGCTGAGGACCCCTCCTTCTGTAGAGACAACTTCAGTACAGGCGCAGATATAATCCCAAATCCTCAACTCTCTATCACTGCAAAGCCCTGCCTTGCGAATCATGCCAAATAAGTCATACTCCTAATAACAGACCTTCAGTTATGAAAACAGTTTTAAGTATACTCCAAGCCAGCAGTTCCAGTTCTTTCAATTGCTGATCCTTAAAGTTTGTTTTCCCAACACTTAATTCCCTACGATCTCTTCAGCCTGTCAGGATGCCTCCTACAAGATAACCAAAGTGGAGCCCAGTCTTCTAATGGGTCTGACCCAAGAAAGAAAAAACTGCCACCCTGCTACTGCCCAATGGGAAAAATGCTACCTCATACCAAAATTAAGTTACCAAGTTCCTGAGTTAATATATGTTCTCCATAAATCTTATATCTTCTTCTTCCACTCCAAAATGGATAAAGGAATGAGTTTGAACTTCAAGATTAAATTCATCAATTGCAATAAATTTCATTTTTCTCCTTCAAAGGGTCATTACACTGAACCCAGTAGCCTGTCAAGAACTTACAATTCTGCAAGGAGAGAATATTCCAGATAGAAGGGTCCATAAGAAGCATGTGTGCCATTTGTTGACTGCGTTCCTGGGGCAGGCGATGTCGGCTTTGTTATAGGCAAAGCATTTTTGGGAATAGAAGGCAGCTGTTTTTTTGGTGCAGTTCGTGGAGGACTGTTTTTCACATCCCCTGTCAATGTCTTCTCTTCACCATCAGATCTCTATTCAAGATGAAGTTGTTCATTAGGATAATTCTCCACCCCTCCCCCAGGATAATTCTTAAACCATGGAGTATCAAAAAAAATTAGGGAAATCATAGAGTACAATATTGTTCACTCCATGACCACCAATGCTTTTTTTTTTTTTTTCTGGTACTGTAGTTTTTAAATTCCAGGCCTGGGTGCTGTCCCTGAGCTTCCTTTGCTCAAGGCCAGTGCTCAACCTCTTGAGCCATAGCTTCACTTCCAGCTTTTTGGTGGTTAATTGGAGCTAAGAGTTTTATGGATTTTCCTGCCTAGGTAGGCTGGCTTCAAACTGGAATCCTCAAATCTTAGCCTCCTGAGTAGTTAGGATGGCAGTTTTGGCTTACGTCTAGGGCTTTGTCTAAGCCTTCTAACAACCAAAATCAGTCAGGATGACTTGCAAGCCCTTTAACAGACATACATAGAGCAAATAAGGCAGGACCATTGCATTATGCCCAAGAAGAGGCCACGGACTACTGACTACTAAGTCATTAGATAACTGTTTGCTTGTTTTTGTGGTGGTACGGGTTGAATCCAAGCCCTAATAATTTAAAGTTAGGTTCCCAGTCCCCATTAGATAACTAAGACTAGAAAAGTTTCTTTGATTATATAGAAGCTATATAAGAGGAGACATGACAGGGGTCAGTTACTACCTCACATCAGCATTTGTATAGAATCAAAAAAGAAGGAAGCAGAATAAAAAATGGAAGCCATTCTCTCACTTGCTTTGATCTTGTGCCTAATGGGGTTGCTTCCGATTGGGATATCAGCAGCAAACCCTCATCCTTTGTCAAAGGAAAGGTCAAAATGAGCCAGAAACTAATTTGCCATCTTGTTTCTACTTCTAGGCAGCAGTCCAACTAAAAGCTGTTTAAATCAATGCATAAAAAGAGTGGATTGTAGGTGGACACCAGTGGCTCATACCTGTAATACTAGGTACTTAGGAGGCTGAGATCTGAGGATTGCACTTTGAAGCCACTCTGGGCAAGCAAGTCTGTGAGATGTTTATCTCCAATTAACCACCAAAAAGTTGGAAGTGGAACTGTGGCACAAGTGGTAGAGCCACTTAAAAAGAAAAAGGATAAAAATAAAAATAAAAGAAAAAGGATAACAATGGTATATTCTTGGAGGTATAATTATGGGTTATTTTTATTTTCTTCTGTTTGCACATTTGAAGCTTTCCCAAGAGAAAAATGTATTTGTTTTAAAGAAATTTTATTTAGAAGAAAATTCAAGTCTGACTTGACCAATATTGAAATATCCTTTCCCAAAGCTTCTCTTAACCATTGAATCTTTAAATTTAACAGAGAATCTACTACAGTGGTATAACAAATTACATCATGTGTACATATAATCTAAAACATCATAGAATTGTAATTATCAGAATTTCTATTCAATCAATGAGCAATCTCATCCTGAGAAACTGAGAAGATAATTATTATACAAACCAGGTAATTTTGCTAACAGGTGACTTTGAAAGGTAAGTATTCCTTCTGGCCCTTTTTCTGGCATGGAAGCAAATGACTTTCTTCACACAATTTATTAATTATACTTACTTTTCGTACAGAACTTGTAGACATGCTCCACAAAGGGTTCATAACGTGTCCTCCAAAAAAATTCAGTGGTCTGTGTCATCCAACTCTTCTGTCCTTACCATTCACTTCACCTTGAAACCAGAAGGAAAATACAAATATAGCAACACTAACAGCTAAGACTTCAAGTAAGGGTTAAAAACTAAATCTGATATCCTGGAGTTGCAATATTTTTTTTTACAAAAGCTTGGGAAATGTTTTCAGGCAACTTCCTTCTGTACCCCCTCTTCTTTGGGCTCCAATGAGAGAGGTGGGGGGAAGGAGAGAAAGAAGAGAGGAGAGAGAAGAAGACAGGGAGAAAGAGATGGAAAGAAGGGGAGAAGGAGAGGGAGGAGGAGAGGAGAGAGAAGAGGAGAAAGGGGAGAGGGAGAAGGATAGAGGGAGAAGGATGAAGGGGGAGACAGAAGGGGAGGAAGAGGGAAGGAGAAGAGGGGGAAAGAGAGAAGTGTGTGTGTGTCTTAGGGCTTGAACTCAGGACGTGGGCACTGACCCTGAGCTGCTTAAGGCTACCACTTGTGCCACAGCTCCACTTCTGGCTTTTTGCTGGCTAATTGGAGATAAGTCTCATGAGTTTTCCTGCCTATACTGGCTTTGAGGCTAAGATCCTAAGATCTTAGCCCCCTGAGTAGCTAGGATTACAGGTATGAGCCACCTTCACCAGCTGGGCTCAAATTTTCTTTCACCTTTACATGTATACAAAAATTTATGCACAAGAGCTGGGTGTACTGATGCACACCTGTAATACCAGCATTTGGGAGTCAGAGGCAGGAGGATTTTGCATTTGAATCAAGTCTGAGCTACATGACAAAACTCTATGAGGCTGGGGGAGAGCTTTGTGTACCACATCCCTGGCCAAGACTCAGAATAATTAGTGACACAGTTCAGCTTTAGTGCCAGAGTTAAAGATATGAACTGCAAGAGTTGCTGCTAGCATAGTATCATAGTAGCATAGATGTTTAACTAGAAATCAGAATTAGAATGTACTGCACTCATCTACACAAAAGTTCTCTTATTGTTCCCAGGGTCACAGGAACAAATGAAGATCTAAGGTGGCCAATTGAAGAGAGATTTAAAATGAGTTGTGTCAAGCATACTAATCATTCTCTCTAGCAAAACTATTAGCCACAGAAATAAGGGGAAGAAAAGAAAAGGACAGCAGAACATATCCATGTCAGTAAGGAGAAAAGGCAGATACTGGAGTCCTGTCTTGGAACTCTTTACAAGAATAGGCATTAAAGAACTCATAAAACATAGGAGGACAAGGAGTGCAAGAGCTAGATACTGCTCAAACACTAATTTTCCTCTGGAAGTTTCAAGTAGTGGATAACTAAGCATGTCTCAAAGGTCAAAAAACCAAGTGGGTCAGTACTCATTAAAAAAAAAAAAAGCACGAGGAAAAGCAGCCAACCCCAGCAGTGAGAACAGAGATTTCCCCTGCTCTGATGATTCCCCCAGACTCAGCTGGGCTTCAAGAACTCTCTAAATAGAAAAAAAACCAAAGGTGAAAAGGGTCAAAACTTAGCAACTAATGCATAAATTTCTAAGAAGCACAGCCCTAGGTAATTGGCAGTAAATTTGTTTTCTCTCAACAGCATATTCTATCCACCTGTGGGTACCAGCGCTCCCATACCTGTCCAGTGCTTAACACTGTGTGCTTTCCTTGAGACAATGCTGCTCTGTAATTAACTCAGTTCTTCCACTGCCTATTGACTTACAGTCAGTAAGTAGCAACTCTGTCTTTAAAGATGACTATAACCCATGAAAAAATTAGGACACGAAAAAGTGGGTCCAAATGAGAACCACCCTGATTTCCAGGACTATCCACTGTCACCTGACACACCTGTCCAGACGGGAGACCTGCACTTCTGTAGTAGTACACAGAGGTGAGCCCCCCCTCCCAACTTGTACATTTACTGCAACAAAATTCCCTTTCAATCCTACACGTTACCATCTATGATTCTGTCCTTAAGAACCCAATGAAAAACTTGCTGTCAGTTCTTATTTTCAAGCAAGAGGCAACATCTGCTGCCACCCAACTCACTGGTTCCAACCCATCAAGATCATGAGAAAACTAGCGCACTATGCGGAAAACAACACAGTTTATCAGATGCCTTCTCAGACACAGCATGACATGCTCCGAGGAAGGACACAGTTGGGAGACATCCTTGTCCGTAGGGAATACTTTTAGAATTTCTGCTGGTTCGGCTCCGAACCAAACAGTGACGGTTTTATATCCATAACACAGCTGAGAAGTCGGTACCTCCGGCCTATGCCTGGCAGGACCCAAAGGAAACGTTGCTGCTGCTGCTGCTAACATCACCCCCCCGCCCCACACACACACCCGGGCTTAAGAAATTCCACGCAGGAGCGATACTCGGAAAGAGCCCCAGCCTGGGACAGGCGCCCGCGCCGGGGGCAGAAACCCGTCACGGAGCACGGAGAGAATCTGGACAAACCTGTCCCGAGGTGATGCAGGGCGGGGGCCGGGCCCGGCCGCCCAGCGAGTCCAAGGCCGGCGGGGCCTCCGCCAACCTGCGCCGAGGGGAGACCTCCCGGGCGCGGCGGAGCCCCACGGCGCTCCTCACGCCCGCCCCTGCGGCCGGGGACCCGGGGGGAGGACCCGGACGCGGCGAGTCGTCGGGGCCTACCTCCCTCCCCCAGGCCCACCCGGCCCAGCCCACGCACGACTGCGGGACGGCGGGGTCCGCCGCGCGGCAGGTGCCGGCGAACCCGCACAGGTGCCGGCCCCGCCCCCGTGTCCCAGCGCGGCCGCCGTCGCCGGGCCGAGAGCGCCGGCAGGGCAGACAAACACCGCGCCCGAGGCCGGTGGCGGCCCCGGCTCAGGGACCCTCTGACCCCTGCATACCTGCCAGCCGGCGGGGCACCGCGCCTTACCCCGGTGCCTTCAGTGCAGAGGTCCCGGCTGCCGAGCGCCGCCGCGGCGGGACAGCATCTCTAGCCGCACCGCAGCCCAGCCTCTGCCCGCTCTCCGCCCCGCCCTGCCCTACCCTACCCTGGCTTCGGGCCCCGCCCCTTACCACGCCCTTCGGCTCGGACGCTTCCGCCCAGACTCTCCTCTCCAAGTGGCTCCCATACCTGTCTATCAAAAGCGCTCTTCCGGAGGGGTTGGAACGACAGCACCTCGGCCTACCAATCAAATCGGCTCCGCTCGGGTGGGGCCGCGGTTGACCCTCCCCTTACGTAACAGCGCAACCAGCGAACTGTCAGTCAAGGAAGCGTGGGCCCCTGGGGAAAGGCTGGGGCGGAAATAAATAAGCGCTGGGACGCCATTGGCCACGGCGTCCGCCAGTCACCATGGAGACCGGGGGGGTTTATGTCGGCAGGTTGCCCCTCAAACAGGGACTGTGACCGCTAGTTTTCTCTTCGCCTCTCAGGGCCTGCCTGGAGGGCGCGGGCGGGGCCGCCACGTCGGGGCCGCGGCCGGAACGGGGGTGTGTGGGATGGCCTTCGGGTCCGAGACGCCCCTTCCTCCCGCGGAGGGGGCCGTGGCGCGCCAACCTGTGGATCCGGGTCGGGGGCCATGGTCTGGGGGGAGGCCAGGGCCTCGGGGAGGCCAGGGTCTGGGGGAGGCCAGGGTCTGGGGGAGGCCAGGGTCTGGGGGGAGGCCAGGGCCTGGGGGAGGCCAGGGTCTGGGGGAGGCCAGGGCCTCGGGGAGGCCAGGGTCTGGGGGAGGCCAGGGCCTCGGGGAGACCATGGTCTGGGGGAGGCCAGGGTCTCGGGGAGGCCAGGGTCTGGGGGAGGCCAGGGCCTGGGGGAGGCCAGGGTCTCGGGGAGGCCAGGGTCTCGGGGAGGCCAGGGCCTCGGGGAGGCCAGGGCCTCGGGGAGACCATGGTCTGGGGGAGGCCAGGGCCTGGGGGAGGCCAGGGCCTCGGGGAGACCATGGTCTGGGGGAGGCCAGGGTCTGGGGGGAGGCCAGGGTCTCGGGGAGGCCAGGGCCTCGGGGAGACCATGGTCTGGGGGAGGCCAGGGCCTCGGGGAGACCATGGTCTGGGGAGACCATGGTCTGGGGGGAGGCCAGGGCCTCGGGGAGGCCAGGGTCTGGGGGAGGCCAGGGTCTCGGGGAGGCCAGGGTCTGGGGGAGGCCAGGGCCTCGGGGAGGCTAGGGTCTCGGGGAGCCCCCCAGTCCTGCCCCGCGTCCTGCCGCTTGCGGACGGCGGCCTCTCACTCGGCGCCTTACACGCAGGGAGAGCAGCTGCTTGTTTGCTCCTTTGGTTGTTGTTGCCTCTGAAGTTGTGGTAAATTACTTATGTAGGGACAGGAAGCAGAAGCCCTGGTGGTAATGCCGAGAGCTGATTCTGGAATCCAGCTTCATCCCCCAGCCGGAAACGGTCTTGAGTCTCTTCCTTGGGTCCAGTTTGGACACAATTAAGAAGAGTAAAATGCCCTTAATAGTGGCCTTAATACAAAAGAAGACAGAAGTTGTTTTGTTTTGTTTTCCTGACCATGGCAAAAAGTCACCGTACCAGCTCTCCGGCCTAGTTCTTGCCAATCTTTTCTGCAGTCACCAGCCTCTTCCAGGACTTCTGATCTCCCCTAGGTTTGTGTTCACTCACAGGGACTTACTGCTTTTATTTCAAGCCTGTCCATGCCACCTATCCAACGGCCCACCTGACACTGGGAACCTCAGCTACATAATCCCAGCAGCCGAGAGTTTATAGCTTCTCATACCAAACACCCACCTTCAGCTCAGAAAGCTAAGGACCTCCTCTCATTGTAGTAAGGCAGGCTCCACGGCTGGCACTGAGCTGCTCTGGTCCCCAGAATTACACGTTGCAACTGGGAAATAAAATGACTGCTGCTATCCAGGCAAACCAAACATCTAGAGAAAGGATCTTTTTCTTCCTGGGGTCTCTTGATGTGCAGGAATACCTTTCCCAGAAATACCAAGAAGAAACACACATGTTTCAGAGACCAGAAGTGGAGGCAGGAGTCTGCCCAATACTGAACCAAAGTCCAAGGGGGAGTGAGCCTGCGCAGATTTACCCTAGATCTCTGGACTTAAGGTAGAGAAGAGAGACAGGATCCAACTTGTGTTTTTAAAACATCAATTTGTGTAATGACCCTTCAGCTAAACTTGGGCTGGGAAGGTGGCTCAGTGGTAGAGCGCTTGCCTTGCATGCATGAGGCCCTGGGTTCGATTCCTCAGCACCACATAGCAGAAAAAACTGGAAACAGCGCTGTGGCTCAAGTGGTAGAATGCTAGCCTTGAGCTGAAGAGCTGAGGGACAGCGCCCAGGCCCAGAGTTCAGGCCCCATGACCGGACCCCAAAAAAAAAAAAAAAGGAATTCAGGCTAAACTGTGTTGATCACGTGACGTGGATGGTAGTGGTATACTCAGTTGGTTAAAAAAAAAATACACGACTTGGCCATGGGTTAGATTCTGGGTAAGAGAGATGAAGAGGGAAGCTTCATGGCTGACACCTGGGTGGGTGGTTGGGATACTCCTACTTGGGAGGCCACTCAGTAAGATGAGATATTGAGCCTTACCCAAGTTTGGGAGGGTGGGAAGAAGGGACATAATGAATTTGTTTTTGGATCTGCATACTAATTCATTGCTGGCAGAGCCTGGGTTTGGTTGAGTTCAAGCCAATGGCTTCCCACTCATTCCCTGTTAGGCAAGGATCAATCTCATTATCAACATACCAGCCCTCAGGCATTCAGTCCTCAAAGATGCCCCACCACAAGAGGGGGCCTTTGCACTGGACATGTTCCAAACCTAAGTCATCAATCTGTTCCCTCCACCCCGCAACTCTCAGCTCAAACACCACCCAGTCAAGACAATGGGCTTGCTGTGTCCTTGGGAGGAAACTTGATTAGGTTCTGACTTCAACTGCCTTCCATTTTCTCTCATGCATGCAGCCCCATGCTGGATGGAGTAGGGGTACAGTAAACAGTTTGCAAATGGAAGAAAGAAAGAAAAGCAATTGAAATATATTTCAAACAGCAGCCTTTACAGCCCCAGCTCTGCCCACAAAGTGGCTTTAAAAATGGTTTGTCTCCCTCTGAAATTTGTGGTGCAGTTTAGTTTCCATTGTAATAGTGTCAGGAGGTGATTAGATAGTTAAGAAGGATCAATGACCTTCTTTTGTTCTTTTGGGACTGGATTAGTCACTGTGATAGTGGATTGTGCTAAAGCCAGGCCAGGTGTCCTGTCTTCCCCTCCCCCACTCTCACCTGCTTCCTTTCTGCTTTCCACCAAGAGAAGAAGCAGCACCCAGTTCTCCAGAGGCCAGCACCAGGCCCATAGACTTCATAGTCTCTGGAACACAGCCAAATAAAGGTCTATTTTATTTCATTCTCTCCGTCTCTCTGTCTCTCTCTGTCTGTCTGTCTGTCTCTCTCTCTGCCTCCCCTTTCTCTCCTTTTATTCTGTTGGCTGGGCAGAAAAATCTACAATACTCCATCTCCAATTAACAAGCAAAAAGTCAGTCTGGAGATATGGCTCATGTAAGAAAATCAAGAGTGAGAGCACAAGGCCCTGAGTTCAAGCCTCAGTACACACACACACACACACACACACACACACACACACACACACGCATGAGATTCCTAGTCAGGTGCAGTGGCTCACATCTGTAATTCCAACGCCTTGGGATGTGGAGATTGGGAGGATCATGGTTTAAGGCCCACTTTGGGTAAAAGTGACATCTCATCTCAACTAACAAACCAGGTATGGTTGTTCCCAGACACTTAGGAGTCATAAGTAGAAAGATCTTTATCTGAGGCTAGACAAAGGCAAAAATATGACAGTATCTGAGAAATAAGCATTTTTTTAAAAAAAATGCTGGGCACTGGTGGCTCATGCCTGTAATATTAGCTACTCAGGAGGCTGAGGTCTGAGGATCACAGTTCAAAGCCAGCCTTGACAGGAACATCCATGAGACTCTTTATCTCTAATTAATCACCAGAAAACTGGAAGTAGAGCTGTGGCCCAAAGTGGTAGAGCACTAGCCCTGAGCAAAAGAGCTCAGGGTCAGCACCCAGGCCCTGAGTTCAAGCCCCATGACTGACAAAAATAATGACTGTGGCTATAGTTCAAGTGGTAGAGCACCTGCTTACAAAGCAGAATGTCCTGAATTCCATACTACCTCCATACTACCAAAACATAAACACATAAAGCACTGTACTGCTTGTAAACTGTAAGGCCTGAAAGCTTGGTTGGGGCAAGATGACATCCCTGGTGAAAAGACTCTCTGAGCTACTGATGTAGTAGAATTCTATCGCCCCGGTTATTCATTGAACAATTCAAACAAGCATGCTCTGTGGGGGCAGAGTTTTCCAGTGGTGTCATGGTTTCCTAGCCAGCTTGTAACGAACTTGCTGTTAGTAACTTGGTTCTCACAAATGTCAGTGAGTTCCAAGGTCAGACTGTTCCCCTGGCCTCTGCAACGCTAGTCACCTTCAATCCTGTCTAAAACTCAGCCCAATTCAGAAGTCACGAAGTGACCAACTGTGGTCGGTCAGGACTCCACAGGACCTTGGGGATGTCCTGTGTTCTGCACCCAGATAATGACTACATCCCACCTTTACTCCAGGTGATTGTCAGGTCCCTAGGAATGGACTTTTTCTTCTTTTTGGGACTTGAACTTGGTACTTGACACTTCCACTCATTGGCTAGTGCTCTATTAACTGAGCCACGCCTCCAATCCCATGGGTTGGTTTTTTGTGTTTTTGTTTTTTATTCCAAATTAGCATTCCCCCCCTCCCCCCTTCATGCTTGCGAGGCAAGTGCTCTACCACTGAGCTACAGCCCCAGCACCTAGCATGACCTTGGACTTTTTCTTAAGCCGGTCGACGTGGTCTGTCTCAGCAGTGATAAAGTGCCAAACATCTCCTACAGTGCCCAGAGAGGAAATGAACTGCTTGGAGCCTACAGACCAGGCCCCAGGTCCCGGGGCTGTGACTGGTCGATGTCCCCAGCCGCCGCCGCCGCAGCTTCTCCGCAGCGTCTCTAGGACGCCGCCCTCCGCAGGTAACCGGTGAACCTCCTCCGTCA